GGACACAAACACATTGAGACATTATTTTACTGTAATAGAGGAGAAGATAAAAAGGATATTGTTAGAAAAGTTGTCTCAACTACTCAACTACTACTTGCGTGCAGAGCAGACACTACTAAAACGAGAGTATCAATGAACACTGATTCTGGAAAATGAATGCTCAGTTTGTCGCGTGCGGCATCAGGGTACCCGAAGCAGCATTTTAGCCAAAGACTGTTATACTAGCTGTCTAGTCTGTGTTTTATAAATGTGCAACAAGCATAAAACAAGTATATAAGGAATTGACAACTCGTTCTCATTCTGAGAAATAAGGTAGGCCACTTGATTTCAACATCTGAACAAAGTAGGCAGGCTAACATGTTTTTTAAACAGTTGGAGACAGACAGAAGGGTGTGTTCATAACAATTAAACTGTTCAACCTTGTTAGCTAGCAAGTAGATCCAAGTTGGCCAAACATGAAATAAAGATTAGCTGGCTAATCACTAGCATGTGGGATTGAGAGATTGTTGATGACACCTGTGTTAATTTTCTATAGCCTAATGCTTGCTACAAGAAATTATTCATTATTAGTGAAAAAAATCATTTTTACAGACAGACTTGAAACCCAGATCAGTGATTAAAAAAAAGCTGCTTAAACAACAGTGTCCCGTGTGTATCAAGAATGGTCCACCACGCAAAGGAAATCCAACCAACTTGACAACTTTGGGAAGCATTGGAGAACATGGGCCAGCATCCCTGTGGAATGCTTGGCACCTTGTAGAGTCCGTGCCCCCACGAATTTGGCTGTTCTGAGGGCAAAAGAGGGGGGGGGAGGTGCAACTCCATATTAGGAAGGTGTTCTTAATGTTTGGTATACTCAGTGTATAGCCTCCCATTTATATGTATAACTTTGCTAATTCGATCTAGTCTCTAACATGGAACATAGGCCTATGGAATTGCACAATTTTTAAACATCTGATCTGTGCTTCAGAACCCCCAAAAAGTTGTGCTTTTTGACTGTTGACCAATCACCAGTCCTCAGCATTGGCGCGCAAAAGCGGGTTTAGATTAGTAACCAGAAAGTGCTTGTTTTATTTTCACTTTGCCAGAAAAATAGGCTACCTGGTGATTTAATTTATCATTTTCATATTTCAGATACACCTAGTTTGGGTGGGTTTTTAATGATATACCTCAATGGTGCTACTGGCTATATGTATATAGTCAGTACTATATATAGTGCATTTGGAAAGTATTCAGACCCCTTGACTTTTTCCACATTTTGTTACATTACAGCCTTATTCTAAAATGGATTAAATTGTTTTTTTCCACCCCCTCAATCTACACACAATACCCCATAATGACAAAGCAAAAACAGGTTATACATTTCTGCAAATGTATTAAAAATATAAAAACGGAAATATCAAATCAAATTTTATTGGCCACATGCGCCGAATACAACAGGTGCAGACATTACAGTGAAATGCTTACTTACAGCCCTTAACCAACAGTGCATTTATTTTAAATAAAAAAGTAGAATAAAACAAAAAAGTGTTGAGGAAAAAAAGAGCAGAAGTAAAATAAAATAACAGTAGGGAGGCTATATATACAGGGGGGTACCGGTGCAGAGTCAATGTGCGGGGGCACCGGCTAGTTGAGGTAGTTGAAGTAATATGTACATGTGGGTAGAGTTAAAGTGACTATGCATAAATAATTAACAGAGTAGCAGCAGCGTAAAAAGATGGGGTGGGGGGGCAGTGCAAATAGTCTGCGTAGCCATGATTAGCTGTTCAGGAGTCTTATGGCTTGGGGGTAGAAGCTGTTGAGAAGTCTTTTGGACCTAGACTTGGCACTCCGGTACCGCTTGCCGTGCGATAGCAGAGAGAACAGTCTATGACTAGGGTGGCTGGAGTCTTTGACAATTTTGAGGGCCTTCCTCTGACACCGCCTTGAATAGAGGTCCTGGATGGCAGGAAGCTTGGCCCCAGTGATGTACTGGGCCGTACCCACTACCCTCAGTAGTGCCTTGCGGTCGCAGAACAAGCAGTTGCCATACCAGGCGGTGATGCAACCAGTCAGGATGCTCTCGATGGTGCAGCTGTAGAATTTTTTGAGGATCTGAGGACCCATGCCAAATCTTTTCAGTCTCCTGAGGGGGAATAGGCTCTTCACGACTGTCTTGGTGTGTCAACCTGTTCCACTACAGACCCGTCGATGAGAATGGGGGCGTGCTCAGTCCTCTTTTTTTCCTGTAGTCCACAATCATCTCCTTTGTCTTGGTCACGTTGAGGGAGAAGTTGTTTTCCTGGCACCACACGGCCAGGTCTCTGACCTCCTCCCTATAGGCTGTCTCATCGTTGTCTGTGATCAGGCCTACCACTGTTGTGTCGTCTGCAAACTTAAATGATGGTGTTGGAGTCGTGCCTGGCCATGTAGTCATGGGTGAACAGGGAGTACAGGAGGGGACTGAACACGCACCCCTGAGGGGCCCCCGTGTTGAGGATCAGTGTGGCAGATGTGTTGTTACCTACCCTTACCACCTGGGGGCGGCCCGTCAGGAATTCCAGGATCCAGTTGCAGAGGGAGGTGTTTAATCGCAGGATCCTTAGCTTAGTGATGAGCTTTGAGGGCACTATGGTGTTGAATGCTGAGCTGTAGTCAATGAATAGCATTCTCACATAGGTGTTCATCTTGTCCAGGTGGGAAAGGGCAGTGTGGAGTGCAATAGAGATTGCATCATCTGTGGATCTGTTGGGGCGGTATGCAAATTGGAGTGGGTCTAGGGTTTCTGGGATAATGGTGTTGATGTGAGCCATGACCAGCCTTTCAAAGCACTTCATGGCTACAGACGTCAGTGCTACGGGTCGGTAGTCATTTAGGCAGGTTATCTTAGAGTCCTTGGGCACGGGGACTATGGTGGTCTGCTTGAAACATGTTGGTATTACAGACTCAGTCAGGGACATGATGAAAATGTCAGTGAAGACACTTGCCAGTTGGTCAGCACATGCTTGGAGTACACGTCCTGGTAATCCGTCTGGCCCTGCGGCCTTGTGAATGTTGATCTGCTTAAAAGTCTTACTCACATCGGCTACGGAGAGCGTGATCACATAGTCATCCGGAACAGCTGGTGCTCTCATGCATGCTTCAGTGTTGCTTGCCTCGAAGCGAGCATAGAAGTGGTTTAGCTCGTCTGGAAGTCTTGTGTCACTGGGCAGCTCGCGGCTGTGCTTCCCTTTGTAGTCTGTAATAGTTTTCAAGCCCTGCCACATCCGACGAGCGTCAGAGCCGGTGTAGTACGATTCAATCTTAGTATACATTTACATAAGTATTCAGACCCTTTACTCAATACTTTGTTTAAGCACCTTTGGTAGCGATTACAGCCTCATATCTTCTTGAGTATGACGCTACAAGCTTGGCACACCTGTATTTGGGGAGTTTCTCCTATTCTTCTCTGCAGATCCTCTCAAGCTCTGTCAGGTTGGATGGGGAGCATCGCTACACAGATATTTTCAGGTCTCTCCAGAGATGTTCTATCGGGTTCAAATCCGGGCTCTGGCATTCAGAGACTTGTCCCGAATTTTTTCTGCATTGTCTTGGCTGTGTGCTTAGGGTCGTTGTCCTGTTGGAAGGTGAACCTTCGCCCCAGTCTGAGGTCCTGAGCGGTCTGGAGAAGGTTTCATCAAGGATCTCTCTGTACTTTGCTCCATTTATCTTTCCCTCAATCCTGACTAGTCTTACAGTCCCTGCCGCTGAAAAACATCCCCACAGCATGATGCTGCCACCACCATGCTTCACCGTAGGGATGGTGCCAGGTTTCCTCCAGATGTGACACTTGACATTCAGGCCAAAGAGTTCAATCTTGGTTTTATCTGACCAGAGAATCTTGTTTCTCATGGTCTGAGAGTACTTTAGGTGCCTTTTGGCCAACTCCCCCATCATTTCTCAATGTTTGTACCAACAGATGTAGCCTATTGAATATCATTATAGTTATTTCGGTATGTTGCATTGAAAGTGGCTAATATTGTTGATTCGATCACAATTCCCACAGTAAAGGGAAACGTTAATAGTGTTAACTAAGGGGGAAAACTCTCATTTAGTTAAATTCAATATCCTGCTTCTCTGTGCAGGCTGATATTTATTCTGCGCTGCAGTCCCAGGGGAGCTGCGCGGCCAGTTTTGAGAAAACATTGATCACCAGGCAGTAGGCTTTATGCTACCACATCCTTAGATATATATTTTCATAAACGCAACGTGTCTGCAAGAGATGGAATGGCTGACTGAAATACAGGACAAAACGACATTTTTTTCTAAATGAGTTGCGTTTGAATTTGTTGATAAAATGCTGGACTGTCCGGCACAATCCGGGACATGTGGTCACCCTAGACTTGGGGCGTGTTTTGGTTGAAAATACGTATTCTCAACGTATTGTGCTAGCTAACTGAGTTCCTCTCTTACATGAGGTTCAGTAAATTAGTGGCTATACATGAGAACATTGTTTCCATCCCATTGTTTTCACCAATCTTAAATTACGGTGTCAGGTGAGCGATTTTCTGAAGTAAAGAATGGTATTTACATTGACTATGTTTGGGAAACCCTTATTCCCAATTCCCTCCCCCGAACCCCACTTTCCCCCCATGGCCGTAACCATAGCACGATAAACGGTCACTTTGGCCATTATGGCCGTAGCCTACATGACATGTTTCAAGCCATGACTCTACACACAGTAGTTGCTACAAACCTGCTCGATGTAATTTTATCTCCGGATTGAAAACCAAATCTAGCAGCCGTCGTAAACGCTTGATCTCCTCCTTCGAACGGGAAATTTCGTCCTGGTATTCTATTATCGTTTTTTCCACTTCTACGTATATCTCCACAGCAGCCGCGGTTAGTCGCTTGGTAAGAAACACATTCAACAACTGTAGTTTGGACATTTTGCAGGAGGCTATGTAAAAGACTAGACCACTACTAGCTGGTAGTCCGGCTATATATGGAAAGAACCTCTCACACAAAATGTACCCAAACCACGTGACCTCAATCTGCGAACATTGTCATGTGATCAAAATAGGAAGTGGCGTTAGTCGTCTCGTCTGATTCAAAGGTGCTAGGTTGGGTGGAAGCGCCCGAGATATTTGATTATTAACCTTCAAGGTTTCCCCATGAAAAGACGAAATCCTTCGTGTTTGATAGTGACGACCATGGGGACACTTTTTCTGCTTATGGTGGTATTATATGGTACAATAAATTCACAGGTACGTAGCTCCTTTCGTTTCTTTTCATGGTATGGACTTACCTGTTTTACTGATTGTCTGCATCATGTCCTTCCTTGCCCTTGTTGAGTTAGCTAACAGTTGCCAGAATCAATAGTTACTTGTCAAATGTGCTCCATTACATAAATGACAATATTATCTCACTTAAAACCCTGTTCAGAACAAACTGTCTGTTTAGAACAGGATCCTGTCTGTCCTGTTAAGAAATCCTGTCAAAATACTGGGCTGCATTCAGTACGTCTTTATGTACTGAACGACCAGTTGAACATTTACGTCATTTAGCAGACGCTCTTATCCAGAGCGACTTGAACAACGGGGATGGATTGGGTTGTGGTAAAGGCCCTGTTCGAGAGCATCAATTCAGCATCAAATGGGGATTGACTGATCTACAAATAATAATGAGTAGTTAATTATTGTGCAAAATGATTTGGAGATCAATCAGTCGGCAGTCTCATGCACTAAAGTCCCACAGTGGTGGTGTCATAATACCCATAAAACCTAGCGGCCAAACAGGGAAACGGTTTCAATCGTTTTCCAGCATTCATTTTACTAAATGCTAATTAGCTGCTAATGTAGCTATCATAAAGAACCACAAATGACATTATTTGGAAGAGACTGCTGAATCGAGGCAAAGGTAAGAATCTGTTACAGCCTGAATTTGAAATTGGTTAAATTGAGATTTTGTGTCACTACACACAATAGCCCATAATGTCAAAGTGGAATCCTGTTTTTAGAAATTGTCACAAATTAATACAAAATGTAAAGCTCAAATATCTTGAGTCAAAGTATTCAACCCCTTTGTAATGACAAGCCTAGATAAGTTCAGGAGTACAAATGTGCTTAACGAGGCACATAATAAGTTGCATGGACTCACTCTCTGTGCAATAATAATGTTTAACATGATTTTTGAATGACTACCTCAGCTCTGTACCCCACACATACAGTTGAAGTCGGAAGTTTACATACACTTAGGTTGGAGTCATTAAAACTCGTTTTTCAACCACTCCACAAATTTCTTGTTAACAAACTATAGTTTTGGCAAGTCAGTTAGGACATCTAGTTTGTGCATGACACAAGTAATTTTTCCAACAATTGTTTACAGACAGATTATTTCACTTATAATTCACTGTATCATAATTCCAGTGGGTCAGAAGTTTACATACACTAAGTTGACTGTGCCTTTAAACAGCTTGGAAAATTCCAGAAAATGATGTAATGGCTTTAGAAGCTTCTGATAGGCTAATTGACATCATTTGAGTCAATTGGAGGTGTACAATGGATGTATTTCAAGGCCTACCTTCAACCTCAGTGCCTCTTTGCTTGACATCATGGGAAAATCAAAATAAATCAGCCAAGACCACAGAAAAAAAATGGTAGACCTCCACAAGTCTGGTTCATCCTTGGGAGCAATTTCCAAACGCCTGAAGGTACCACGTTCTTCTGTTCAAACAATAGTACGCAAGTATAAACACCATGGGACCACGCAGCCGTCATACCGCTCAGGAAGGAGACGCGTTCTGTCTCCTAGAGATGAACGTACTTTGGTGCGAATAGTGCAAATCATTCCCAGAACAACAGCAAAGGCCCTTGTGAAGATGCTGGAGGAAACAGGTACAAAATTATCTATATCCACAGTAAAATGAGTCCTATATCGACATAACCTGAAAGGCCGCTCAGCAAGGAAGAAACCACTGCTCCAAAACCGCCATAAAAAAGCCAGACTACGGTTTGCAACTGCACATGGGGACAAAGATCGTACTTTTTGGAGAAATGTCCTCTGGTCTGATGAAACAAAAATAGAACTGTTTGGCCATAATGACCATCGTTATGTTTGGAGGAAAAAGGGGGACGCTTACAAGCCGAAGAACACCATCCCGACCGTGAAGCAGGGGGGTAGCAGCATCATGCTGTGGGGGTGCTTTGCTGCAGGATGGACTGGTGCACTTCACAAAATAGATGGCATCATGAGGAAGGAAAATTATGTGGATATATTGAAGCAACATCTCAAGACATCAATCAGGAAGTTAAAGTTTGGTCACAAATGGGTCATCCAAATGGACAATGACCCCAAGCATAGTTCCAAATCCTATAGAAAATGTGTGGGCAGAACTGAAAAAGCGTGTGCGAGCAAGGAGGCCTACAATCCTGACTCAGTTACACCAGCTCTGTCAGGAGGAATCGGCCAAAATTCACCCAACTTATTGTGGGAAGCTTTTGGAAGGCTACCTGAAACGTTTGACCCAAGTTAAACAATTTAAAGGCAGTGCTACCAAATACTAATTGAGTGTATGTAAACTTCTGACCCACTGGGAATGTAATGAAATAAATCAAAGCTGAAATAAATAATTCTCTCCACTATTATTCTGACTTTTCACCTTCTTAAAATAAAGTGGTGATCCTAATTGACCTAAGACAGGGATTTTTTAACTTGGATTAAATGTCAGGAATTGTGAAAAACTGAGTTTAAATGTATTTGGCTAAGGTGTATGTAAACTTCCGACTTCAACTGTACAATTATCTGGAAGGTCCCTCAGTCAAGCAGTGAATTTCAAGCAACGATTCAACCACAAAGACCAGGGAGGTTTTCCAATGCCTCACAAAGAAGGGCACCTATTGGTAGATGGGTAAAAAAAATGTTTTATTAATTACACTTTGGATGGTGTAGCAATGCATCCAGTCACTACAAAGATACAGGCTCCCTTCCTAACTCAGTTGCTGGAGAGGAAGGAAACCGCTCAGGGATTTCACCATGAGGCCAATGGTGACTTTATAACAGTTACAGAGTTTATTGGCTGTGATAGGAGAAACCGAGGATGATCAACAGCATTGTAGTTACTCCATACTAGCCTAAATGACAGAGTGAAAAGATGGAAGCCTGTACAGAATAAAAAATATTCAAAAACCTGCATCCTGTTTGCCATAAGGCACTAAAGGTAAACTGCAAAAAAATTGCCTAAGTTATTAACTTTATGTCCTGTATACAAAGCGTAATGTTTGGGGCAAACATTTCACATCACTGAGTACCATTCTTCATATTTTCAAGCATGGTGGTGGCTGTATCATGTTATGGGTATGCTTGTCATCGGCAAGGACTAGGGAGTTTTTGAGGATAAAAATAAATGGAATAGAGCTAAGCACAGGCAAAATGAAAACCTGGTTCAGTCTGCTTTCCAACAGACACTGGGAGACAAATTCCAGCAGGACAATAAGCTAAAATAAACAACCAAATATACACTGGAGACAACATTTAATTTTCCTGAGTGGCCTAGTTACAGTTTTGACTTAAACCGGCTTGAAAATCTATGGCAAGACTTGAAAATGGCTGTCTAGCAATGATCAACAACCAACTTGACAGAGCTTGAAGAATTTAAAAAAGAATAATGTGCAAATATTGTACAATCCAAGTATGCAAAGCTCTTAGAGACATACCCAGAAAGACTCGCAGCTGTAATCGCTGCCAAACGTGATTCTAACATGAATTGACTCAACGTATTTAATCATTAGTCTTTTATTTTTCATGAATTCTAACGTGTATAAAATAAATATATTCCACTTTGACATTACAGAGTATTTTGTGTAGATCGTTGACAAAAAAAAAGACAATTAAAGACATTTTAATCCCAACTTGTAACACAACAAAATGTGGAAAGAGTCAAGCGGAGTGAATCCTTTTTCTGAAGGCACTGTACCATCAAGTTTATTACATATCAATCCATTTCAACAGTAAATCAAATACAATAAAATCATTAGGCCTAATCAAATAATTTCCCATTAGAATGCATAAGGCAATATGTTTTTTGTTTTTTTGTCAGCAATCGGAAACATCTGGCCTAAAACAAGATTACAGACTTCTAGGACGACCACTGTACAAATTGGATATCAACTGGCCCAAATATCCCGAGCTTTTCAGCGGCGAGGTATTTGGAGTGGCTGTCAACCAGTATGCCGGTGTGGTATATGTTGCACAGGTCAGTATGTTATCTTCATGTCCTGTATTTTATTTATAACAAATGGTGTTATGATACAAAACTGAAAGAGACAAAGGGAAAAGAGAAAGCCAGGCTTAAAAAACAGATTAACATAACATTATCATTGTAAAAACAGTGCTGTGAGTACAAATGTAGGGTATTAGGTATTAAATAGCCAAACTTCTATGTCCTAGAGAGGTGAGACAGTGCCAAAGGTGCTGGTGTTCACCACAGACGGAGAGTTCCTACAGGCCTGGAACACAAGCACCCTGGAGATGCCCCATGGGATCTTTTTGGCCGACGCCTACACCAACCCCACCGTGTGGGTCACGGACGTAGGAAACGGTGAGGCCTCACAGCAGACCTGGGCCCGGTTTCCCATTAGCGATGGAACTTAAGCTTATGAGTGTTTTATCGATGCACCTTTCCTACAACGGCCGAAGATGTAACATGCGTTTCCCAAAACACCGGGCAGAGAGAACGGTTGCTAAGTGCGTCGTTGGAGCATGTGTCGATACTGATAGGATCGAAAGGAAGGGAGTGCTGCTTTCAGATCAGCTTTCTTCATTCAGCTCTTTCCTCAACATTGTAATTACAGTGCATTTGGAAAGTATTCAGACCCCTTCACTTTTTCCACATTTTGTTACATTAAAGCCTTATTCTAAAATGGATTAAATAAAACATTTTCCACATCAATCTACATACAATACCCCATAATGACAAAGCAAAAACAGGTTTTTAGAAATGTTTTTACATAAGTATTCAGACCCTTTGCTATGAGACTTGAAATTGAGCTTAGCTGCATCCTGTTTCCATTGATCATCCTTGAGATGTTTCTACAACTTGATTGGAGTCCACCTGTGGTAAATTCAATTGATTGGACTTGATTTGGAAAGGCACATACCTGTCTATATAAGGTCCCACAGTTGACAGTGCATTTCTGAGCAAAAACCAAGCCATGAGGTTGAAGGAATTGTCCGTAGAGCTCCGAGACAGGATCGTGTCGAGGCACAGATCTTTGGAAGGTTACCCCAAGATTTCTGCAGCAATGAAAGTCCCCAAGAACACAGTGGCCTCTGTCATTCTTAAATTGAAGATGTTTGGAACCACCAAGACTCTTCCTAGAGCTGGCCTCCCGGCCAAACTGAGCAATCGGGGGAGAAGGGCCTTGGTCAGGGAGGTGACCAAGAACCCGATGGTCACTCCGAAAGAGCTCCAGAGTTCCTCTGTGGAGATGGGAGAACCTTCCAGAAGGACAACCATCTCTGCAGCACTCCACCAATCAGGCCTTTATGATAGAGTGGCCAGACGGAAGCCACTCCTCAGTAAAAGGCACATGACAGCCCGCTTGGAGTTTGCCAAAAGGCACCTAAAGAACTCTCAGACCATGAGAAACAAGATTCTCTTGTCTGATGAAACCAAGATTGAACTCTTTGGCCTGAATGCCAATCGTCACGTCTGGCGGAAACCTGGCACCATCCCTACGGTGAAGTATGCTCGTGGCAGCATCATGCTGTGGGGATGTTTTTTAGTGGCAGGGACTGGGAGACTAGTTAGGATCGAGGGAAAGATGAACGGAGCAAAGTACAGAGAGAGCCTTGATGAAAACCTGCTCCAGAGTGCTCAGGACCTCAGACTGGGGCGAAGGTTCACCTTCCAACAGGACAACGACCTTAAGCACACAGCCAAGACAACGCAGGAGTGGCTTTGGAACAAGTCTCTGAATGTCCTTGAGTGGCCCAGCCAGAGCCCGGACTTCAACACGATCGAACATCTCTGGAGAGAACCTAAAAATAGCTGTGCAGCGACGCTCCCCATCCAACCTGACAGCGCTTGAGAGGATCTGCAGAGAAGAATGGTAGAAACTCTCCAAATACAGGTGTGCCAAGTTTGTAGCCTCATACCCAAGAAGACTCAAGGCTGTAATCGCTGCCAAGGGTGCTTCAACAAAGTACTGAGTAAAGGGTCTGAATACTTATGTAAATGTGATATTTCAGTTTTTTTTTATACATTAGCAAACATTTCTAAATACCTGTTTTTGCTTTGTCAGTATGGGGTATTGTGTGTAGATTGATGAGGGGGACAAACAATTTAATCCATTTTAGAATAAGGTTGTAATGTAACTAAATGTGGAAAAAGTGAAGGGGTCTGAATACTTTCTGAATGCACTGTATTTCACAATACTGGCGACGTATCAGCTCCTATAGAGATATTACCATTTACGGCTGCAAATATTTAGGTGGCTTATTCTAATGCTTACCCAATAAAAATGCTCTAAATCACAGATTTTGCACATTGCGCACGTTCATCTGCACCATTAAATATTTTGAGACAAATTACAGACTGTAGCCTACAAGTAGCAAATAGAACTCAATTGATTGAACATAGCTTACTTGTTTATCTTTTAATGCAGTCATTGCAGTTTTTATTTGAAGCCTATTTTTATATGTTGCTTGTTTGTATCAATTGCAAAGACATTGGCAACTTTGTATATGTAGTCAACTTTGTTCTGAAGTTATTGAGGTCACAGAGAGATGGATAAACCATGTGGTTGTATGTTTAGCGGAGATCTTCTGTGTATAAAGTGACGCGGGAGGGCAAAAAAGCATCTAACAACGCACTTAGCTGTTCTACGAGTGGTCTGATGCAGGCCTTAGATTACGAGCGTTTTCAAGTGCAACGTTAATAACGATGGTTTTGGGAGACCGCTCTGAGATTTAACGATGGTCCAACGAAGGTTCTAACAATGAACTTAGCCTTAATGAGCCACTGAACACGCCGATTGGCACGTATTTTTCTATTGCTCATTAGAAAAAGGAAATTTCAGTCTTGGAGGTGTGTTTCTTGACCGATTCCGCGTTTTAGTTAATGATGATTGGCCCCTATGAGACACTGTAGATGCAGAAGCCTATTTCACTTCCTCAAAATCCCCAGAATGAATCTAAGAACTCATGAAATCTGTAATATATTTTTACATTTTTGCCGAGGATGTTTTAGATGCACTATTTTAGATCTAACTAAGGTGTTTGGTGCAGTTTTTCTCAAGTAAAAAAAGTGTTGTCTTATGTAAACAGTCGGAGCTGCTGGGCAGGTCTGTCTCACTGTCGATGCTATTGGATAGAGAGCAATCACCGCAGCTGTTCACCCCATGTTAGTGGGCAAATGGACAACGTCAAATCAAAACCTAACCTTCATTTTCCGGTGTGACACACAGATGTTCCAAACTCTGTTTTAGACGAGACTGACTTTATGACCAAAATCATCCTATTTACACTTTGTAGTCAATTTTGACACTAGAATAACTGTTTCTGACTCATATCGATGCCACATATGCCGTTTTCAAAGGGATTTGTTGCTTGTTAAAGGCAGATGCTTTTTAAGATGCTTTTGGGAAACCAGGCCCTGGGTCGTGTTCATTAGGACACGCAACAGACAACATTTAGCAATGGAAAACTAAAATAAGCGCTATTGTGAATGTATTCTATGTACTAAACACTTTAGTATAGACAGAATACGGTGTATTTACTTCATGTTAGTCATACACACATCTGGCTGATAAACAAGGGATCCAGCTAAAGTGCCTTGCCTAATAGAACACTGTTTTTACACAACCTCATCACTCATCTATTTCCCAAAACATAAGCCTCCTTGACCTGTCTGCTGTCTCATTGCTTAGATTGCTGCTGTAGTCTCAGTGTTGTGAGTGACTGTACTGTATTATTCCTATCCAATCTGTTGTAGGCCCGTATGGTCACTCCATTAAGCAGTACTCTCCCTCGGGCAAGCTGCTCCAGGTGCTGGGCTCAATGGGGGAAGCCGGCTCTGGGGTCAACCCTCTCCAGTTTGACCAGCCCGCTGAGGTCTTTGTCCACAGCTCTGGGGAGATCTACATAGTGGATGGGGACGGAGGGATGAACAACCGCCTCATCAAACTGTCCAAAGGTGATGATGACGTTATAACCACAGAGAGCCTAGAATAAGTTATGAGTTCTATATGTAATTATGTGGTTATAACATTACGTTCTGTGCCACAGCCACGCTTCCAGAATGCCATTTACATAAAAATTGAATTTCTAGAACAGACATACCCATTAAAGTTCTGGTAATTCAATATGTATGGCCATTAATATGATATGGTGATACTGCCCATTGAAATAACATAATGCTATAGCAATGATGTGATCCATGTTATAACCTCTATATGGTTTCTTTATAGACCTGGAGGTGCAATGGATGCACGGAGAGAAGGGCCAGGGCCTTGCACAGTTCTACATCCCCCATAGTGTGGCTGTAGATAACTATCAAAGGGTAGGTGCATTGTGCAGGTCTCTGCTGTACAAGCAGTGCTGTGTTGAAGTCAACTTACTTTTTACATTGACATTTTAGTCATTTAGCAGACGCTGTTATCCAGAGCGACTTACAGGAGCAATTAGGGTTAAGTGCCTTGCTCAAGGGCACATCGACAGATTTTTCAACTTCAAGTTCAAAACATTATGGTCCAATATTGTGAAGTGATGTCTAAGCAGGCAGCTCGTGGTTTAAATGCTTCACAAGCTGAAATCCAAGTCTCATCTCACTCAACTTTATAGAACTGTACCTGATACAGATTGATGGCGACATTTTCGTAGTGCAAAGGAATTGTGCAAATTGCAAGAAATACTGTAACCCTCATAATTTTGCAGTGAAATGTAGTGTGAAACTTTTCTTCAATTATATGCGTTATAAGGAGGCGATTAATTTAAGTAGAGTTTAGTAAGCAGAGCATTACATAAATACACAGAGTGTAAAAAACATTATTTCCATGACATAGACTGACCAGGTGAAAGCTATGATCCCTTATAGATGTCACCTGTTAAATCCACTTCAATCAGTATAGATGACGGGGAGGAGACAGGTTAAAGAAGGAGTTTTAACCCTTGAGACATGGATTGTGTATGTGAGACATTCAGAGGGTGAATGGGCAAGACAAAAGATTGAAGTGCCTTTGAACGGGGTATGGTAGTAGGTGCCAGGCACACTGGTTTGAGTGTGTCAAGAACTGCAACGCTGCTGGGTTTTTCACGTTCAACAGTTTCCTGTGTATCAAGAATGGTCCGCCACCCAAAGGACATCCTGCCCACTTGATACAACTGTGGGAAGCATTGGAGTCAACATGGGCCAGCATCCCTGTGGAATGCTTTCGACACCTTATAGAGTCCATGCCCGACGAATTGAGGCTGTTCTAAGGGGGAAAGTGGGTGCAACTCAATATTAGGAAGGTGTTTCTAATGTTTTGTACACTCGGTGTAGTCTCCTCTTTATAACGCATATTATTAAAGCAAAGTTTCAAATTAAATCACACTGCCAGATTATAATGAGGTTTATGGTAAGTTTTGCATTTTGTGGTAAGTGTGTGCTGTGGTGTTGTGCAGGTGTGGGTTGCTGACAGAGGAAACAAGCGAATCCAGGTGTTTAATTCTGTGACTGGAGACTGGCTTGGAACATGGGGAAGCTGTTTCAATGAGGATGCACCCTACTCTGTCAGGTTGGTAGTGATAGTCTCAAGATTTACCTGTCAGTCTTAGTGTGTTTCCTTTCATGGCCTAACTGGTTTTGCTGACTGCAACTCAATATTAGGAAGGTGTCCTATATAATTCTCCCCATAGGTTGACACCAGACCAGAAGTACTTTGTGGTTGTGCAGCTGAACACCAATCAGATCTCCCTGCTGGAGGCTCCACCTGTGGGTGTGATTGGTCAGTGCCAGGTGGTCAGTGTCATCCAATTGGCTGAAGACGTCAAGCCCCACCTAGTGGACCTGGACCTGAAGACGGGGGCTCTGTATGTGGCCGAGATTGGTGCCCAGCAGGCTCAGAAGTTTACCCCATTCAGCCTGGGTACTGGCTTCCTGTAGGATGGTTGATGCACTCTATTATAGGCCGTGTTCCAGGCGGACTACATTGCAGACACATGCCAGATCTCAGAACGCATGGATTGGTGTTTAACATATCAGTTAACCAAATTATATGATATAGCAAACTGATGCCTGACTGTTCAGTTGATGACGTGGGCACAGAACCATTGGCTGATGCAATGCAACGTCTGCAATGTAGTTGGCCAGGAACACGACCATAATCATTTGGTAAGAGGTTAACATGTATATTGAAATATATTCAAATGAGCCAGGCAAAGCACTTATTGGACAAATCAAAGATGCCATTTTCTCCCTATACTGCTCATTTGAATAATTATTTACCCCAAGCTCACTAAGGCATAAAGTCCTGTGTATGTAACGTGCTACGCCAATCAGGAACTCTTAACCAGCTCTGTGTTTACTGTTTAGTTCTTATGGAGGTATAGAAAAGTATTGCATGTCCAACTAACCAATCTCACTGGTCATTTACTTTAGTGGCTTGATGTTAAACCTCATGATACTAACTGTAAGTCGCTCTGGATAAGAGCGTCTGCTAAATGACTCAAATGTAAAAATGTAATCCTGTTACTTAATTGCATGAAGAAAATGGTTATAAGAACCATCATTTTATGTTTTTAAAAGCAGCCACGTTTTAAAAACATCAAAGTGGCTTGTGCTCTATGAGATACTACTACTATCAAGTGAGAAATGAATTTTCTTACTGGCAGTATGTTTGGCACTAGGATCACAGTAATATGACCAGTGCTATTCAGATTAGATTTGAAAGAGTTCGGTCTCTTCCGCTAGCCTGTATATCTTTTGCCAGGGGAAGTGTCTTGATATATGAAATGTGTGGTTTTGGGTTGAAAGTGTATAACATAAGCTTTCAATGCATAACATAAGCTTTCAATGCAAAGCATAACATAAATTATTATGCTTGTGTGTGCATGTGCATGTGGTTTCATTGGAATTACGAGTCATATCATCCTGTCTTTTTTGTGTTTTTACCCTGGGGAACAATTATCTTATTTTATGGGGTAATGTTTACATTGCTTGGCCCTGAATATTGTTTGTGGTTATATGGACTTTTTGGAGATTCTTCTATATCATATTTTGTTAATTTTGATTGTATGAATGTACTGTGATTTGTTTATGCTGCTTTTAAAGTGCCATATCTTAGTCATGCTCAGCAACATTGAATGTTCATTGATTTTTAATGTTGCTTGTTATTCTTTCATTTTCAAGGGTAAAGGTTGACAGAAACCAATTTTGTCATAGTGATAAAGCTTCCCCTGGCTTTTATTGTCTGTCATTATTTTGATGCATGAATACCAGTGGGGGCTGCTGAGGGGAGGATGGCTCATAATAATTGCTGGAGTGGAGTAGAATAGCTGGAATAGAGTGAATGGAATGGTATCCAAAACATGTTTGATACCATGCCATTCCAGCCATTATTATGAGCTGTCCTCAGCAGCCTCCACTGATGAACCCACAACCCCTTCATGTAAAGGGATTCTGAAAGCAGCCAGGCAAAAAAAAACAGGAATTGCAGTCTGAGTGACAAATATAATTAGATTATCAGTCCACAGTAATTGCAAACAAAATGCTTTTAGAAATCTGATTTAGTAGAATAGATAATTTTCTGGAGTTGGGGTGGGTGCACAACAATAGGGCAACCCATGGAACCCAATAGAGGGCCATAGTAATAGCGTTTTTTGTTTATAGGAACTGACTTGCGCCATGGTTCGTTGAACAAAGCCTATGGGAAAATGAATGGATTTTTTTTTAGGGTTTTTGGATAAATGCAGAAAATAAGGTCTGTGATAAACAGGCTTAGGAGATCAAAGGAGTTACATGGAATATTAGTAAAAGCCATACCACCTTCTCAGGTCCTAGAGCCTGAGATATGGAGAACTAAAAGAAGGAAGAAGTGGGAGTTTTGTTTGTTTGGGCAATGTACTATTTTTATTAGGGTGGATGGTTAGAATCACTATTAAGTATGGATTTTTTTGTTTTTGTTTCAAACCGTCCAGTTGATGGCGGCAATACAACTTTTGGATGTAGTCCACCATAACACCCACAGAAGAAGAAGAAGAAGGTTTAGGATATCTTGTTCGTTTTGTTCTATTAAGATAATCTTAACCAGCTAAAGACACCTTTTGTGAATAAATAAAAAACAAGGCACATAAAGGCCATGTTAACTGACTGATATGATCTCATAGAACAAAACGTATAAGATCTCATAAGGTGGTGTTCACCTCAGACCTTATTTTCGTCTCCAAAACCGTTTTTCCCCCATTAATTTTGCCCATAGGAATCGCTGAACGAACCAGAGGTAGATCATTATCGGTTTTAAGGACTACAAGCTGGCGACATTGAGCTATAATATAAACGGCTGGTGAGCTCTGATGCGTCGTATGCGAACATACGATTCTTTTTGGTGGACGTCGGGAACCGCATCTGTGAAAGAGCAGTTCATTTGGTTCCCTGATTTGCATGCTGCTACTTTTTTTTTTTAGCGCCAGACAACTATATGTAGATAAGTAAAAATAAACATTCTCTGAACATCGTAATTCCTCAATGCAGGAACAATAGGTAGTGAGGAGAAATCGTCATTCTGGTCCACGCTCATTTTTGCAATATGTGGGATGTGGGAATCGTCATTTTTTTGCAAGTGATTTAATATCGTTAGTTCAAATATACATTTTACCTCACATTCCACAATCTGACATTATGGTAGGCAACTTTTTAGAGTTTACATTTTAAATTGCTCATGTTTTTTCATCCATTTTTAAGCACTACTGAACGAAGAGTAATTTGGGAGCCGAATGGACGTTGCTTTTAAGGTGAACAGAGCTCACCAGAAAGACTCATGAAAAAAAAAAAGTGCTTTTTGGTCTTAATTTAAGGTTAGGGTTAGGCATAAGGTTAGCAGTGTGATTAAGGTTAGGTTTAAATGAAAGATGATGGATAATTCAGTAGAGGCTGTTGAGGGGAGGACGGCTCATAATGGCTGGAAAGGAGCAAATGGAATGGTATTAAACAAATGGAAACTATGTGTTTGATCTATTTAATCCCATTCAACTGATACCGCCTCAGCCGTTACCATGAGCCCGTCCTTCCCAATTAAGGTGCCACCAACATTAAAAAAAATATTTTCAGTCATTTAGCAGACGCTCTTATCCAAAGCGACTTACAGTTAGTGCATACATTTTCATACTGGCCCCCCGTGGGAAACGAACCCACAACCCTGGCGTTGCAAGCGCCATGCTCTACCAACTGAGCTACAGGGGACCAACCTCCTGTGATGGATATGCTGACAAGATACGTCTCTCCACACAATGGGAGTCGTTGTCCACAAAGCAGAAAGGCGGGCTGTCATTTTTTTGTTGACCAAATTCGACACTCGAAAAAACGCCACCTCCAACCCAACCTGTTTAAAATAACATTTTAGAGAAATTGTATAAATGGGCGGGATTTATCACTTGTGGCTGTGGTAACTAGTGAGGACCAATGCCAAAACCCGTGCACAAAGAATGCCAACAATGACGTCAATGGGTCCTAAAAAAAAGTGGTAGAAAAAGCGCCTATTTGGATTTATGTCTTTGGGTATTACCTGTATGGGTTTTTCATTATTATTCCATATGTAAAAATTAGGGGGTTGTAGATTCCCAAATGTATCCATATTTGATCGAAACAATTCAAATTCATGTCAAACCAATCCAGGTTTATTTTAGGACAGCATTATTTTAGGCCCAAGTGTTTTGGCGTTGTTCAATCATGGCGGAATTGAAGGTCTAGGGAACTGAGGTGGATCCTCAGTAAAGAAAAACATATTTTTCATATTTTGGTGGGTGCAACTTCCATTGGATTAATATGTAATCATTTATTGATCCGTTCAATCAGGACTGTCATAACGACGTTGCAATCGTCTCAACACTGCATGGTAAGTTGGAAGAAGGAAAGCTCCCAGCTAGCCGAATAGCTACTGTAGCTAGCTATCTAACGTCGTTAGCTTACTCCCAGGGGGATGCTTGCACAACTTGAAATGCTTGATAGCAGCTAGATCTATGCAAACATAGTTTATCTTAGTGTTAGATATTATACGAATATATATTTATTTGCTGTAATGTTGTATTTTGAATTTTTGTCACGCACTCTCAATGTAGTTAACGCGTTACCTCGCTAATGTTGTGTAGGCTAAGTAACGCTGGTTTTGCAAAGCAGAGTAAGTCATTTGGCACCCGTAGGCTACTTCTAGCTACATAGTGTCACTGTTTAGCTAGGCTACTGAAAGCGTTTTCTTCCATGTCAATGATATCTAGATGGTAGAACTGAAAGAGTATTTAAACCTCTTACTGAAAGCATGTCAACAGGTACCAACCAATGATATGTATTAACCCTAGAAGACTGACAGGGGGCGCTGTTTTGAAGCTACCGCGCAGCCATTTTGGTACGATACACTCTTTTCATGCCACTTCCATTCCGTACTAGGTTAGGAGAATTTACGCAGCAGGTTGTGGAGACTGAGGCTAAGGTTAGGAAAAGGGTTAGGGTTAGCGAAAAGGTTAGTGCTCTCCTAACCTGCTACGAAAATCAATTCTTAAAAGTGTGTCCCATTTGGTGCTCCTCCATTGTAAAAAATAACAATAATAATAGTAATAATAATAATAAAATAACGATTTTGGAAGCAATAGAAATGCTTTTATTCTACATTCGATTTTGACAAGTATATTCCATTATAGACACCTTAATGCATAATTACAAATGATATGTGAACTGAACATAAAAATGTATTAAAACATACTAAACAAAGCAATTATTTTTTTGAGAATACTAATGTTACACTGTCCCCACTACAACAAATCAATACTTAAATACATGTAATTTTGTCCTTGAAACATTTGATTGAATACTGTAGAATTCCATTCATTTCTATGGAGGACTGCGCCTTCTTAGGAGTACCAATATGGCCGACAGGTGGCTTCAAAGCCTCTCATTGGCCATTACATAACATCAGCAATCCAGGGTTTATACACATCATTGGTACCAGCTCTGAGAATAAGTTTACTAATAATAATAGACAGGTGGCTTAGGTTAGTTAACTAGCTTGTATCAATCCTGATCTCCCGAGTGGCGCAGTGGTCTAGCTGTGCCACTAGAGATCCTGGTTCGAGATCCTGGTTCGAATCCAGGCTCTGTCGTAGCTGGCCTTGACCGGGAGACCCATGGGGCGGCGCACAATTGGCCCAGCGTCGTCCAGGGTAGGGGAGGGAATGCCCAGCAGGGATGTAGCTCAGTTGGTAGAGCATGGCATTTGCAACGACAGGGTTGTGGGTTCGATTCCCACGGGGGGCCAGTATGAAAAATACAAATGTATGCACTCACTAACTGTAAGTCGCTCTGGATAAGAGCGTCTGCTAAATGACTAAAATGTAAATTTGGAAGCTGCTGGCCGTGCTTGTTTATGGTTTAATAATATCCATATATGGAACTTCTATTACTGACATGTCCATATTGCATTATCCAGTTCTGATATATTATGACTTATCGGTACACAGTGCTGGACCTTCTTCCACCATTACTTTGTATGTGAAAGGTACCCTTACACTAAGAGTTGGAGAAACGTATTCATGTGGTCCTCTGTAGCTCAACTGGTAGAGCACGGCGCTTGTAACGCCAAGGTAGTGGGTTCGATCCCCGGGACCACCCATACACAAAAATGTATGCACGCATGACTGTAAGTCGCTTTGGATAAAAGCGTCTGCTAAATGGCATATTATTATTATATTTCAAATAAAGGATTTGTAGTGCATGGATAATCTAGAAGATTACTTATTTGCCATGTCCTCTCCTCTTCTGCTCGCTCTCAATGTAGTTGATGATTCAGCAGGAGAAACCGCAGCTGCCCGGCACCATGCCTGTGGTGTGGCCCACCCTCCTTGACTTGGGCAGGGATGAGTGTAAGAGAATCCTCCGTAAACTTGGTAAGTGCCTTTCAACTTCTCCGGCCTCTCTGGCTTGCCTTATGCATGAAGTGATTTGTCACTTTCAAAACCCCCAAATGTTACTGCTATTTCAGAGTGAAAGTTGTTTTTAATGATAAACCGTATTGTTTCAACAGAGCTGGAGGCGTACGCCGGTGTTATCAGTGCTTTGCGAGCCCAAGGCGACCTCACCAAGGATAAGAAGGATCTCCTTGGAGAACTCACTAAAGTCCTCAGGTAAACCAGCAAAGTCACTATATTTTTCTCATAGCTAGAGGAACCTATGAAATATGGGGCCCTTTTCTTAGTGAAAACAAACTCGGCTTGTGACTTAATTGCTCATACTTTCTTTGCTAATACAGTATGGTTGTCTCCCACAGCATTTCAACAGAACGTCATCGTGCCGAGGTCCGTAGGGCAGTCAATGATGAGCGCCTTACCACTATTGCCTATCAGTAAGTCAAGTTACCCTCTCAAGATGATCAATACTAAAACTACATACACATTATGACCTACTACCACATACATCAGTCCCTCAATTTATCATACATTTACCATGACAATTGTCTCTGTCTTGTCACAGTATGTCAGGTCCCAACAGCTCCTCAGAGTGGTCCATCGAGGGACGTCGGCTGGTCCCGCTGATGCCCAGACTGGTCCCCCAGACGGCATTCACTGTGACAGCCAACGCAGTGGCCAGCGCCACAGCCAATCAGAACGCCTCGCTTCTGCTGCCCGCCGAAACAGGAAATAAAGAAGGTAAGATCAGACAGCTCAAGGTGGAAATTGCCCTTAACCACAGATCTAGGATCACATTACCTTACTCCTAAGCTTAACCTGAGGGTTAATCCATTTGAATTCATTCACTTTTTGACAGCACCTCTTTTGATTTGAACTAAACCTTCCATACATATTTGCCCATTGTAAATATACTTTTTGAACCTGAATGGCAAAACATTCAATAGATGAAGGTGCTCAAAGTTGACCTATTTTGCGTACCCCCACCATACCATGAGACATCCATGTCTTCATCACTGGAAAAGATAAACGGTTGAGATTTGATATAATTTAAAAGCTTACAAACAGGGTTTTCTTGGAGAAATGTTTTTAACTATATATATTATTTTTTTCTACCTTAAACGTCAATTATCTAAAAATGCGTAAACTCAGACTTCTTAAAATATTAGCAAATGTTGTAGCTTAGACCCTATTTTACATAATCTGGCTCTGTATAATTAGTTAGGAGTAACTTTCTACCTGCAACATCAACTGAAGCAGAAGGAAGACCATAAATAATCAATTACTTATGTCTCCTTATAGTGTATTTTATAAGAAGTATGGTTATTTGTTTGCAGTGGTTGTTTGCTACTCCTACACAAGCACTACCCCCACCAGTGCCACGGCGCCCAGCGGCAGTGCAGCAGCCACGGTGAAATCCCCCCGTCCGGCCAGCCCTGCCTCAAACATGGTGGTGCTGCCCAGCGGGAGCACCGTCTATGTGAAAAGTGAGTGTCAGAACAGATTCCATATTTGTTTATTCTTTTACTTCGGAAAGAAAAATATGTTATTTAAGAATGTTGCGTTGGTTTAGGGGTCTCCGGTGTGACACTCCCTAAACAGAACGTGCAAGTCTGTCAATGTATCCCTGCATTCTTTTTCTCATTTTACATTTGTCTCCGTCTGTATGTTTCTTTCTCTCTCGCTCTCTCTCCCAGGTGTGAGCTGCTCGGATGAGGACGAGAAGCCGCGTAAGCGGAGGCGGACTAACTCCTCAAGCTCCTCCCCTGTGGTGCTGAAGGAGGTGGCCAAAGTGGCCCCGCCCATGTCCAAGACCATCACCGTGCCAGTGAGCGGCAGCCCCAAGATGAGCAACATCATGCAGAGCATCGCCAACTCCCTGCCGCCGCACATGTCCCCCGTCAAGATCACCTTCACCAAGCCCACCACCCAGACCACCAATACCACCACACAGAAGGTGAGCAGGAGAAAGCTGACCAGAGTTCTGCATAAAGCCTTTGGTTCTATAGGCAAATAGTCAATATAGTGAGTGTGAGCCAAATAATATAGGAACGGTTGAATATGTTTGAATGATCGTAAGTGATTGCATACTTGATTGTAAGGGATTGTGTACATGAACTTGATTGTAAGTGGCTGTGTAGCTTACTGTATAATGTATGTTTTGTCAGGTGATCATTGTGACGACCTCTCCAAGCTCCAACTTCGTTCCCAACATCCTGTCCAAGTCTCACTCCCACAACTACGCGGCGGCCATGTCCAAGCTGGTGTCCACCTCCATGCTGACTTCGGCCAACCAGAAACAGACAGTGTTCATCCCGGCCAGCTCCAGTCCCTCCTCGGCCACCAACACGGTCGCTGTGACCACCATGGTTTCCTCCAGCCCGTCTGTGGTCATGTCAACAATAGCGCAGGGTAGGTTTGAGTGTCCTGCAATAGATGTTAGATGTGTTCCTTCCTGCAGTGTTTTCAAAGAGTTTGTTTACTCAGGATTTATTACCAGCCTTCGCCCAATTTAGAGACTAAGGTTGTCTTATTCTAGCTACCAAGACCTTTCATATATACTTTTGTCTTGTACACAAAATTGAATTGAAACTGGAATTGTGAATTGTGTGTTTCTGATTGGGCCTTGAAACTGACCACTATTGCTTGTCCTCCTCTCCCTGTGCTAGGTGGCTCGTCGACGGGCATGAAAGTGGCCTCCTCCAGGCTCCCCTCTCCTAAGACCATGGTGGGCTCTCCAACCCAGATTCTGGCCCAGTTCCCCAAGCAGCACCAGCAGTCCCCCAAGCAGCTGCAGCAGGGCTCCCCCATGGGGGCCGGCACCATGGGCCAGACCCAGACCTCCACCACTCCTCCCGGCTGCAAACCCACCATCCAGATTAAGCAGGAGTCAGGTGAGCACACGGCGCGATACACAAACCTACTGGTGTTAGTACTCTACCCTGAGGTCCACCATTGTCTTTTTAATGAGTGTGCATTTGTGCAAGTGTACAGAGAATCTTAATCATGTATTTAATTAATTATTTGTCTAATTGTACCTGTAGGTGTGAAAATCATCACCCAGCAGATGCAGCCCAGTAAGATCCTGCCCAAGCCCTCCTCTGTAGGCATGCCCAGCAGCAGCTCCTCCCCCATCATGGTTGTCAGTAGCAACGGGGCCATCATGACCACCAAATTGGTGTCCCAGCCCACAGGTGTGCCTTCTCACATACTGCTTTTCGACTGTAACACCAGTGTTACAGTTGTGTATACACCCTGATGTTGTACTAGGTAAACTGTGTTTCCAAAGCTAGGGCTGACCTCTGCATAATCAAAACAGTTGCTTTGTGGGAAGGCATCGATGGTGTAAACCCATGTTCACAGTTAGCCATTGTTACGTAACTGCTGCCAGAAAAGCCCCAGCGGCTTTGTCTTGGCCCCAAGTTAGAGCAGGTCCACTGAGGCCATGGCCCAGTGAGTCCCAGGAGCCAGGCTGTGGAGGTGGAAACACAAAAGTCTGAGGCTTTTTGGTAAAACACCAGGGTAAATACTCGGTGTAAATGCACCAACAGTAAACTCACAAAACAGACAGAACTGTCATCCGAACATGTAAATAAAACACAAGGACAGTAGATGTCAGCACTGGTTTGGACAATAGTTTAATCAAAAATAGATTGCTTGATTTTCAATTTGATGAATTCATTGTTTAGGAGTACTCCTGTGTTTTTATCCTTTATTCTATCTTACTTACTTTATTGTGTATTTCTTATTCCTCGTGCTTTTTTTCTAGTAATATATTGTTATTATTTTTGTGCATTGTTGGGTTGAGTTTGCAAGAAAGGCATTTCACTGTACTTGTGCATGTGACATTAACTTGAAACTAGATATTGATATGAAGAAGTACAATTGTGCTAAGCAAGGCCCCGTCAATTGTTTTCCTTTTAAATTGAGAAAAATATTGATTTTGTGCAGGCACTCAGGCCACATACTCGAGGCCCACTGTGAGCCCCACCATTGGCGCCAGGATGGCGACGTCAACCAGTGGTGCCACCTATGTCAAGACCACCAGCGGCAGCATCATCACGGTGGTCCCCAAGTCGCTAGCCACACTGGGCGGCAAGATCATCAGCAGCAACATTGTGTCTGGTGAGTTTGATAGTTCTATAGTGTTTCAAAGGGTGGGGGGGTGGGGGATATTTACTAGTAACGTTTACATTTACCAGTTAACTACTGGAATTTCAGATACTTTCAAGGATTTTAAGTAATTTACATAACATGTAATGTTATATAAATAATAATAATAAAATCATGTTAAAAATAAAAATAGAATCCCAAAGCTGTCAAACATTGTCCTAAGTATAACCTATCAACTTTGTGAATACCGTTGCTGTTTAATATGAAGGTTTCTGTATGTAATACATTTTATTTTATTTTAGTATGTCTTTGTTGTAAATGTTTTGGGGCCGAACTGGTGGAAGTTGTGAAATAAGTCAATAGTTGGAAGCGTTACAGAGTAAATTGCAGATGACGTCATTCTTCATTCAATGTTTAAAAAATAAATAATTATGCTATTTTTTTCCTAAACCATATGATCTATCTACTAGAAACTCATAGACGACGCGGATATGAAGAGGCGACTCCGGGATGCTGACCTTCTAGGCAGAGTTGCAAAGAAAAAGCCATATCTCAGACTGGCCAATAAAAAGAAAAGATTAAGATGGGCAGTCTGAGATATGTATTTTTCTTTGCAACTCTGCCTAGAAGGTCAGCATCCTGGAGTCACCTCTTCACTGTTGACATTGAGACTGATGTTTTGCAGGTACTATTTAATGAAGCTGCCAGTTGAGGAACTGTGAGGCGCCTGTTTCTCAAACTAGACACTATTTGTCCTCTTACTCAGATGTGCACCGGGGCCTCCCACTCCTCTTTCTATTCTGGTTAGAGCCAGTTTGCACTGTTCTGTGAAGGGAGTAGTACACAGCGTTGTAGGAGATCTTCAGTTTCTTGGCAATTTCTCACATGGAATAGCCTTCATTTCTCAGAACCAAGACTAGACTGACGAGTTTCAGAAGAAAGTTCTTTGTTTCTGGCCATTTTGAGCCTGTAATCGAACCCACAATTGCTGATGCTCCAGATACTCAACTAGTCTCAAGAATGCCAGTTTAAATGATAAACTTGGCACAACGTTCCATTGGAACACAGGACTGATGGTTGCTGATAATGGGCCTCTGTACGGCTATGTACAGTGGGGAAAAAAAGTATTTAGTCAGCCACCAATTGTGCAAGTTCTCCCACTTAAAAAGATGAGAGAGGCCTGTAATTTTCATCATAGGTACACGTCAACTATGACAGACAAATTGAGAATTTTTTTTCCAGAAAATCACATTGTAGGATTTTTAATGAATTTATCTGCAAATTATGGTGGAAAATAAGTATTTGGTCACCTACAAACAAGCAAGATTTCTGGCTCTCACAGACCTGTAACTTCTTCTTTAAGAGGCTCATCTGTCCTCCACTCGTTACCTGTATTAATGGCACCTGTTTGAACTTGTTATCAGTATAAAAGACACCTGTCCACAACCTCAAACAGTCACACTCCAAACTCCACTATGGCCAAGACCAAAGAGCTGTCAAAGGACACCAGAAACAAAATTGTAGACCTGCACCAGGCTGGGAAGACTGAATCTGCAATAGGTAAGCAGCTTGGTTTTAAGAAATCAACTGTGGGAGCAATTATTAGGAAATGGAAGACATACAAGACCACTGATAATCTCCCTCGATCTGGGGCTCCACGCAACATCTTACCCCGTGGGGTCAAAATGATCACAAGAACAATGAGCAAAAATCCCAGAACCACACGTGGGGACCTAGTGAATGACCTACAGAGAGCTGGGACCAAAGTAACAAAGCCTACCATCAGTAACACACTACGCCGCCAGGGACTCAAATCCTGCAGTGCCAGACGTGTCCCCCTGCTTAAGCCAGTACATGTCCAGGCCCGTCTGAAGTTTGCTATAGTGCATTTGGATGATCCAGAAGAGGATTGGGAGAATGTCATATGGTCAGATGAAACCAAAATAGAACTTTTTGGTCAAAACTCAAAGAATGCTGAGTTGCATCCAAAGAACACCATACCTACTGTGAAGCATGGGGGTGGAAACATCATGCTTTGGGGCTGTTTTTCTGCAAAGGGACCAGGACGACTGATCCATGTAAAGGAAAGAATGAATGGGGCCATGTATCGTGAGATTTTGAGTGAAAACCTCCTTCCATCAGCAAGGTCATTGAAGATGAAAGGTGGCTGGGTCTTTCAGCATGACAATGATCCCAAACACACCGCCCGGGCAACGAAGGAGTGGCTTCGTAAGAAGCATTTCAAGGTCCTGGAGTGGCCTAGCCAGTCTCCAGATCTCAACCCCATAGAAAATCTTTGGAGGGAGTTGAAAGTCCGTGTTGCCCAGCGACAGCCCCAAAACATCACTGCTCTAGAGGAGATCTGCATGGAGGAATGGGCCAAAAAATCAGCAACAGTGTGTGAAAACCTTGTGAAGACTTACAGAAAACGTTTGACCTGTGTCATTGCCAACAAAGGGTATATAACAAAGTATTGAGAAACTTTTGTTATTGACCAAATACTTATTTTCCACCATCATTTGCAAATAAATTCATTAAAAATCCTACAATGTGATTTTCTGGATTTTTTTTCCTAATTTTGTCTGTCATAGTTGACGTGTACCTATGATGAAAATTACAGGCCTCTCTCATCTTTTTAAGTGGGAGAACTTGCACAATTGGTGGCTGACTAAATACTTTTTTTCCCCACTGTAGATATTCCATTAAAAATCAGCCGTTTCCAGCTACAATAGCCATTTACAACATTAATGTCTACACTGTATTTCTGATCAATTTGATGTTATTTTAATGGACAAAAAAATGCTTTTCTTTCAAAAACAAGGACATTTCTAAGTGACCCCAAACTTTTGAACGGTAGTGTGTGTGTATGTGTGTATATATATATAATTATTTTTTTCCACAACTCAAAAAAATACTATATATATATATATATATATATATATATATATATATATATATATATATATATATATATATACACAGTGAAGGAAAAAAGTATTTGATCCCCTGCTGATTTTGTACATTTTCCCACTGACAAAGAAATGATCAGTCTATAATTTTAATGGTAGGTTTATTTGAACAGTGAGAGACAGAATAACAACAAAAAAATCCAGAAAAACGCATTTCAAAAATGTTATAAATTGATTTGCATTTTAATGAGGGAAATAAGTATTTGACCCCCTCTCAATCAGAAAGATTTCTGGCACCCAAGTGTCTTTTATACAGGTAACGAGCTGAAATTAGGAGCACACTCTTAAAGGGAGTGCTCCTAATCTCAGTTTGTTACCTGTATAAAAGACACCTGTCCACAGAAGCAATCAATCAATCAGATTCCAAACTTTCCACCATGGCCAAGACCAAAGACCTCTCCAAGGATGTCAGGGACAAGATTGTAGACCTACACAAGGCTGGAATGGGCTACAAGACCATCGCTAAGCAGCTTGGTGAGAAGGTGACAACAGTTGGTGCGACTATTCGCAAATGGAAGAAACACAAAAGCACTGTCAATCTCCCTCGGCCTGGGGCTCCATGCAAGATCTCACCTCGTGGAGTTGCAATGATCATGAGAACGGTGAGGAATCAGCCCAGAACTACACGGGAGGATCTTGTCAATGATCTCAAGGCAGCTGGGACCATAGTCACCAAGAAAACAATTGGTAACACACTACGCCGTGAAGGACTGAAATCCTGCAGCGCCCGCAAGGTCCCCCTGCTCAAGAAAGTTTTCCAATGAACATCTGAATGATTCAGAGGAGAACTGGGTGAAAGCGTTGTGGTCAGATGAGACCAAAATCGAGCTCTTTGGCATCAACTCAACTCGCTGTGTTTGGAGGAGGAGGAATGCTGCCTATGACCCCAAGAACACCATTCCCACCGTCAAACATGGAGGTGGAAACATTATGCTTTGGGGGTGTTTTTCTGCTAAGGGGTCAGGACAACTTCACCGCATCAAAGGGACGATGGACGGGGCCATGTACCGTCAAATCTTGGGTGAGAACCTCCTTCCCTCAGCCAGGGCATTGAAAATGGGTCGTGGATGGGTATTCCAGCATGACAATGACCCAAAACACACGGCCAAGGCAACAAAGGAGTGGCTCAAGAAGAAGCACATTAAGGTCCTGGAGTGGCCTAGCCAGTCTCCAGACCTTAATCCCATAGAAAATCTGTGGAGTGAGTTGAAGGTTCGAGTTGCCAAACGTCAGCCTTGAAACCTTAATGACTTGGAGAAGATCTGCAAAGAGGAGTGGGACAAAATCCCTCCTGAGATGTGTGCAAACCTGATGGCCAACTACAAAAAACGTCTGACCTCTGTGATTGCAAACAAGGGTTTTGCCACCAATTACTAAGTAATGTTTTGCAGAGGGGTCAAATACTTATTTCCCTCATTCAAATGCAAATCAATTTATAACATTTTTGACATGCGTTTTTCTGGATATTTTTTTTGTTATTCTGTCTCTCACTGTTCAAATAAACCTACCATTAAAATTATAGACTGATCATGTCTTTATCAGTGGGCAAACGTACAAAATCAGAAGGGGATCAAATAATTTTTTCCCTCACTGTGTATATATATAGTGGGGAGAACAAGTATTTGATACACTGCCGATTTTGCAGGTTTTTCTACTTACAAAGCATGTAGAGGTCTGTCATTTTTATCATAGGTACACTTCAACTGCGAGAGACGGAATCTAAAACAAAAATCCAGAAAATCACATTGTATGATTTTTAAGTAATTAATTTGCATTTTATTGCATGACATAAGTATTTGATACATCAGAAAAGCAGAACTTAATATTTGGTACAGAAACCTTTGTTTGCAATTACAGAGATCATACGTTTCCTGTAGGTCTTGACCAGGTTTGCACACACTGCAGCAGGGATTTTGGCCCACTCTTCCATACAGACCTTCTCCAGATCCTTCAGGTTTCGGGGCTGTCGCTGGGCAATACGGACTTTCAGCTCCCTCCAAAAAAATTCTATTGGGTTCAGGTCTGGAGACTGGCTAGGCCACTCCAGGACCTTGAGATGCTTCTTACGGAGCCACTCCTTAGTTGCCCTGGCTGTGTGTTTCGGGTCGTTGTCATGCTGGAAGACCCAGCCACGACCCATCTTCAATGCTCTTACTGAGGGAAGGAGGTTGTTGGCCAAGATCTCGCGATACATGGCCCCATCCATCCTCCCCTCAATACGGTGCAGTCGTCCTGTCCCCTTTGCAGAAAAGCATCCCCAAAGAATGATGTTTCTACCTCCATGCTTCACGGTTGGGATGGTGTTCTTGGGGTTGTACTCATCCTTCTTCTTCCTCCAAACACGGCGAGTGGAGTTTAGACCAAAAAGCTCTATTTTTGTCTCATCAGACCACATGACCTTCTCCCATTCCTCCTCTGGATCATCCAGATGGTCATTGGCAAACTTCAGACGGGCCTGGACATGCACTGGCTTGAGCAGGGGGACCTTGCGTGCGCTGCAGGATTTTAAACCATGACGGCGTAGTGTGTTACTAATGGTTTTCTTTGAGACTGTGGTCCCAGCTCTCTTCAGGTCATAGACCAGGTCCTGCCGTGTAGTTCTGGGCTGATCCCTCACCTTCCTCATGATCATTGATGCCCCACGAGGTGAGATCGTGCATGGAGCCCCAGACCGAGGGTGATTGACCGTCATCTTGAACTTCTTCCATTTTCTAATAATTGCACCAACAGTTGTTGCCTTCTCACCAAGCTGCTTGCCTATTGTCCTGTAGCCCATCCCAGCCTTGTGCAGGTCTACAATTTTATCCCTGATATCCTTACACAGCTCTCTGTTCTTGGCCATTGTGGAAAGGTTGGAGTCTGTTTGATTGAGTGTGTGGACAGGTGTCTTTTATACAGGTAACGAGTTCAAACAGGTGCAGTTAATACAGGTAATGAGTGGAGAACAGGAGGGCTATTTAAAGAAAAACTAACAGGTCTGTGAGAGCTGGAATTCTTACTGGTTGGTAGGTGATCAAATACTTATGTCATGCAATAAAATGCAAATGAATTACTTAAAAATCATACAATGTGATTTTCTGGATTTTTGTTTTAGATTCCGTCTCTCACAGTTGAAGTGTACCTATGATAAAAATTACAGACCTCTACATGCTTTGTAAGTAGGAAAACCTGCAAAATCGGCAGTGTATCAAATACTTGTTCTCCCCACTGTGTGTGTATGTATATATATATATATATATATATATATATATATATATATATATATGTATATATATATATATATATATATATGTGTGTGTGTGTGTGTGTGTGTGTATATATATATATATATATACATATATGTATATGTATGTGTGTGTAAACACACACTGCATTGCCAAAAGTCATGTGGACATCTCATTCCAAAATCATGGGCATGAATATGGAGTTGGTCCCCCCTTTGCTGCTATAACAGCCTCCACTCTTCGGGGAAGGCTTTCCACTAGATGTTGGAACATTGCTGCAGGGACTTGCTTCCAGTCAGCCACGAGCATTAGTGATGTCAGGCAATTAGGCCTGGTTCGCAGTCGGCGTTCCAATTCATTACACTTTTCATTTTAGTAATTTAGCAGACGCTCTTATCCAGAGCGACTTACAGTTAGTGAGTGCATACGTTATTCTATTTTTTCATACCAAAGGTCAGGGCTCTGTGCAGGCCAATCAAGTTCTTCCACACCAATCTCAACAAACAATTTCTGTATGGACCTCGCTTTGTGCACGGGTGCATTGTCATGCTGAAACAGGAAACGGCCTTCCCCAAACTGTTGCCACAAAGTTGGAAGCACAGAATGGTCTAGAATGTCATTGAGTTCAGATTTCCCTTCAATGGAACTAAGGGGCATAGCACGAATCAGCCCCAGACCATTATTCATCCTCCACCAAAGTTTACAGTTGGCACATTGCATTCGGGCAGGTAGTGTTCTCCTGGCATATGCCAAACCCAGATTAGTCCGTCATACTGCCAGATGGTGAAGCGTGATTTATCACTCCAGAGAACGCCTTTCCACTGCTCCAGAGTCCAATGGCAGCAAGCTTTACACCACTCCGGCCGACGCTTGGCATTGCGCATGGTGATCTTAGGCTTGTGTGCGGCTGCTCTGCCATGGAAACCCATTTCATGAAGCTCCCAACAACAGTTCTTGTGCTGACCGTTGTTCAAGAGGCAGTTTGGAACTCGGTAGTGAGTGTTGCAACCGAGGACAGATTACTTTTACGCGCTTTAGCACTCCGTGGTCCCGTTCTGTGAGCTTGTGTGGCCTTCCCTCTTCGCGGCTGAGCCGTTGTTGCTCCTAGACGTTTCCACTTCACAATAACAGCACTTACTGTTCGCCGGGGCAGCAATTTGACGAACTGACTTGTTGGAAAGGTGGCATCCTATGACAGTGCCACGTTGAAAGTCACTTAGCTCTTCAGTACGGGCCATTCTACTGCCAATGTTTAGATGTTCTTTGCCCCTCCATTGCAGGTACAACAACTAAGATAACCACCATTCCTATGACGTCCAAGCCCAATGTTATCGTGGTGCAGAAGACCACTGGCAAAGCAACGACCATCCAGGGCCTGCCTGGCAAGAATGTGGTCACCACGCTGTTGAACGCAGGGGTCAGTTCAACATGATTGTTATTATAAATGAAACCATTTTAATTAAGCCATTTTGTGATGTTAGATTTTATTTATCTAGATTATAAGTTATTATATTTCAGAAGTGGCCAAATGTATTGACCCCAAAACAAGTTTATTGGTAGTTCTAGTTTAGCCTTTCCCTCTGAGCAGTCTATTGCTTTCAGGTCCCTATTATGCATCCCACTGAATTTACATGTTAATGTTTTCAGTTGTCATATAGCAGACACTCTTATTCATAGCCACTTACAGTTAGTACATTCATCTTAAGCTCTGGTCAAAAGTAGTGCACTATATAGGGAATAGGGTGCCATTGGGTACACATCTTAAATATGAATGCCTCTGTGCCACAGGGCGAGAAGACCCTGCAGGGTGTGCCGGGGTGCAAGCCAGCCATCATCACAGCCTCCAGACCCATCACCAAGATGATCGTGACCCAGCCAAAAGGCATGGGCTCCGTGGTGCAGCCCACCACCACCACCAAGATCATTCCCACCAAGATAGTGTACGGCCAGCAGGGCAAGACCCAGGTCAGTAACAGTCCAGCGCTGTCTCAGTCAGTGTAGGGTGAAGTTGCCCCTAGACGCTGGGTCTTGGGTCAGTTTTGCCTTTAACCCACTAATGGTTCAAATCAAATCAAATCAAATTTTATTGGTCACATGCGCCGAATACAACAGGTGCAGACATTACAGTGAAATGCTTACTTACAGCCCTTAACCAACAGTGCATTTATTTTAAACAAAAAAGTAAGAATAAAACAACAACAAAAAAGTGTTGAGAAAAAAAGAGCAGAAGTAAAAAATAAAGTGACAGTAGGGAGGCTATATATACAATAGAATAAAGTGACAGTAGGGAGGCTATATATACAGGGGGGTACCGTTGCATAGTCAATGTGCGGGGGCACCGGCTAGTTGAGGTAGTTGAGGTAATATGTACATGTGGGTAGAGTTAAAGTGACTATGCATAAATACTTAACAGAGTAGCAGCAGCGTAAAAAGGATGGGGTGGGGGGGCAGTGCAAATAGTCCGGGTAGCCATGATTAGCTGTTCAGGAGTCTTATGGCTTGGGGGTAGAAGCTGTTGAGAAGTCTTTTGGACCTAGACTTGGCACTCCGGTACCGCTTGCCGTGCGGTAGCAGAGAGAACAGTCTATGACTAGGGTGACTGGAGTCTTTGACAATTTTGAGGGCCTTCCTCTGACACCGCCTGGTATAGAGGTCCTGGATGGCAGGGAGCTTTGCCCCAGTGATGTACTGGGCCGTACGCACTACCCTCTGTAGTGCCTTGCGGTCAGAGGCCAGGCAGTTGCCATACCAGGCGGTGATGCAACCAGTCAGGATGCTCTCGATGGTGCAGCTGTAGAATTTTTTGAGGATCTGAGGACCCATGCCAAATCTTTTTAGTCTCCTGAGGGGGAATAGGCTTTGTCGTGCCCTCTTCACGACTGTCTTGGTGTGTTTGGACCATGATAGTTCGTTGGTGATGTGGACACCAAGGAACTTGAAGCTCTCAACCTGTTCCACTACAGCCCCGTCGATGAGAATGGGGGCGTGCTCAGTCCTCTTTTAAGGTTAGTCCTCCTGGTTAAGGTTAGGGTTGGGGAAGCTGATCCTAGAGCTGTCTGTACCCTGGGGAAACTTCACCCCGGAGTGTCTCAGCCACTCAACGAGTCGTGTGAACGAGATCATTTCGTACTCAAAGCTCTTTGTCTTGGATACAGTGCATTCGGAAAGTATTCAGACTTTTCCCACATTCTTTGTTACATTACAGCCTTATTCTAAAATGGATAAAATTGTTTTTTTCCTCTAATCAATCTACACACACTACCCCATAATGAAAAAGCAAAAACAGGTTTTTTAGAAATTTTTGCAAATGTAATTTACCACTGGTGGGCTCCAATCAAGTTGTAGAAACATCTCAAGGATGATCAATGGAAACAGGATGCACCTTGAGCTCAACTTCGAGTCTCATAGCAAAGGATCTTAATACCTATGTAAATAAGGTATTTCTGTTTTTTTTATTTGTAATAAATTTGCTAAAATTTCTAAAAATCAGTTTCCACTCTGGAGTGGCGCAGCGGTCTAAGGCACTGCATCGCAATGTTGAGGTGTCACTACAGGCTGGGGTTCGATTCCAGGCTGTGTCACAGCCTTGACCGGGAGTCCCATAGGGCGGTGCACAATTGGCCCAGCATCGTCCGGGTTAGCGGAGATTTTGGCCAGGGCGCTTTCTTTGGCTCATCGCGCTCTAGCGACTCCTTGTGGCATGCCGGGCGCCTGCAAGCTGACTAGTTGTCAGTTGAACGGTGTTTCCTCCGATACATTGGTGCAGCTGGCTTCCGGGTGAAGCAAGCCGGTGTCAAGAAGCAGCGCAGCTTGGCGGGTCATGTTTCAGAGGACGCATGACTCGACATTCGCCTCTCCCTCTCCCATTTCTACATTGTAGAAAAATAGTGAAGACATCAAAACTATGAAATAACACATGGAATCATGTAGTAACCAAAAAAGTGTTAAACAAATCAAAATATATTTTAGATTCTTCAAAGTAAGCTATAAATACAAAGAGAGTTGCACACTCCATATGTGTAACCTCCCAGTAATTTATTGGGTAAAAACCACCAACATTTCGGCATCACTGTGCCTTCTTCAGGGTAATGTCATGAATGCTTGAACCAGATTATGTAGACGAACAGTGCAATTAGTGCAACCAATGACAAGAGTGAGGGGTGTGTCGTATTTGATAGGTTGATTTAGAATGAATTGAGCGAAACTGTTAAAAGACAATCGCCCACAGCATATTGAATATATTATGCCATTGTTAGCATTAGCATAATATTAGAATCAACATACATTGTTTAATTTAATTTCACCTATTTAAATATTTCCAATTTCATTAAATATTTTTGTTACATATAATCTTTTGGTTCAACCATAATGCATTATAAGCATCATAAACAGGGGGAACATATTGGGTGTACGCTGATAAGACCTGTTCACAGAAGAAGGCACAGTGATGCCGAACCATTGGTGTTTTTCTTTACCCAATAAATTACTGGGAGGTTATACATATGGAGTGTGCAACTCTCTTTGTTTTTATAGCTTACAGTTTATTCTCCGTTAGTCAGCAGCTCTACACTAAATAATTGTATTTGATTCTTCAAAGTAGCCACCCTTTGCCTTGATGACAGCTTTGCACACTCTTGACATTCTCTCAACCAGCTTCATAAGGAATGCTTTTCCAACAGTCTTGAAGGAGTTCCCACATATGCTGAGCACTTGTTGGCTGCTTTTCCTTCACTCTGCGGTTCAACTCATCCCAAACCATCTCAATTGGGTTGAGGTCGGGTGACTGTGGAGGCCAGGTCATCTGATGCAGCACTCCATCACTCTCCTTCTTGGTAAAATAGCCCTTACACAGCCTGGAGGTGTGTTTTGGGTCCTTGTCCTGTTGAAAAATCAAATGATAGTCCCACTAAGTGCAAACCAGATGGGATGGCGTATCACTGCAGAATGCTGTGGTAGCCATGCTGGTTAACTGTGTCTTGAATTCTAAATAAATCACAGACAGTGTCACCAGCAAAGCACCCCCACACCATTACACCACCTCCTCCATGCTTCACGGTGCGAACCATACATGCGGAGATCATCCGTTCACCTACTCTGCGTCTCACACTGACACGGCGGTTGGAACGAAAAATCTCAAATTTGGACTCATCAGACCAAAGGACAGATTTCCACCGGTCTAATGTCCATTGCTAATTTTTCTTGGCCCAAGCAAGTCTCTTCTTCTTATTGGTGTCCTTTAGTAGTGGTTTCTTTGCAGCAATTTGACCATGAAGGCCTGATTCACACAGTCCCCTCTGAACAGTTGATGTTGAGATGTCTGTTAATTGAACTCTGTGAAACATTCATTTTGGCTTCAATCTGAGGTGCAGTTAACTCTAATGAACTTATCCTCTGCAGCAGAGGTAACTCTGGGTCTTCCTTTCCTGTGGCGGTCCTCATGGGAGCCAGTTTCATCATAGCGCTTGATGGTTTTTGCGACTGCACTTGAAGAAACTTTCAAAGTTCTTGAAATTTTCCAGATTGACTGACCTTCATGTCTTAAGGTAATGATGGACTGTCATTTCTCTTTGCTTATTTGAGCTGTTCTTGCCATAATATGGACTTGGTATTTTACCAAATAGGGCTATCCTCTGTATATCTCCCCCCCCCCCCCCCCCCCCCCCCCCCCCCCCCTTACCTTGTCACAACACAACTGGTTGGCTTAAACACATTAAGAAGGAAAGAAATTCCACAAATTCACTTTTAAGAAGGCACACCTGTTAATTGAAATGCATTCCAGGTGACTACCTCATGAAGCTGGTTGAGAGAATGCCAAGAGTGTGCAAAGCTGTCATCAAGGCAAAGGGTGGCTACTTTGAAGAATCTCAAATATAAAATATATTTTGATTTGTTTAACACTTTTTCGGTAACTACATGATTCCATATTTGTTATTTCATCGTTTTAATGTCTTCACTATTATTCTACAATGTAGAAAATAGTACAAATAAAGAAAAACCCTTGAATAATGAGTAGGTGTGTTCAAACCTTTGACTGGTATTGTGTGTGTATGTATATGTGTGTGTGTGTGTGTATATGTGTATATATATATATATATATATATATATATATATATATATATATATATATATATACACATATACACACACACACACATATACATACACATATATATATATACTGCTCAAAAAAATAAAGGGAACACTAAAATAACACATCCTAGATCTGAATGAATGAAATGATCTTATTAAAAACTTTTTTCTTTACATAGTTGAATGTGCTGACAACAAAATCACACACAAATTATCAATGGAAATCAAATTTATCAACCCATGGATGTCTGGATTTGGAGTCACCCTCAAAATTAAAGTGGAAAACCACACTACAGGCTGATCCAACTTTGATGTAATGTCCTTAAAACAAGTCAAAATGAGGCTCAGTAGTGTGTGTGGCCTCCACGTGCCTGTATGACCTCCCTACAACGCCTGGGCATGCTCCTGATGAGGTGGCGGATGGTCTCCTGAGGGATCTCCTCCCAGACCTGGACTAAAGCATCCGCCAACTCCTGGACAGTCTGTGGTGCAACGTGGCGTTGGTGGATGGAGCGAGACATGATGTCCCAGATGTGCTCAATTGGATTCAGGTCTGGGGAACGGGCGGGCCAGTCCATAGCATCAATGCCTTCCTCTTGCAGGAACTGCTGACACACTCCAGCCACATGAGGTCTAGCATTGTCTTGCATTAGGAGGAACCCAGGGCCAACCGCACCAGCATATGGTCTCACAAGGGGTCTGAGGATCCCAACTCGGTACCTAATGGCAGTCAGGCTACCTCTGGCGAGCACATGGAGGGCTGTGCGGCCCCCCAAAGAAATGCCATCCCACACCATGACTGACCCACCGCCAAACCGGTCATGCTGGAGGATGTTGCAGGCAGCAGAACGTTCACCACGGTGTCTCCAGACTCTGTCACGTCTGTCACGTGCTCAGTGTGAACCTGCTTTCATCTGTGAAGAGCACAGGGCGCCAGTGGCGAATTTGCCAATCTTGGTGTTCTCTGGCAAATGCCAAACGTCCTGCACGGTGTTGGGCTGTAAGCACAACCCCCACCTGTGGACGTTGGACCCTCATACCACCCTCATGGATTATGTTTCTGACCGTTTGAGCAGACACATGCACATTTGTGGCCTGCTGGAGGTCATTTTGCAGGGCTCTGGCAGTGCTCCTCCTGCTCCTCCTTGCACAAAGGCGGAGGTAGCAGTCCTGCTGCTGGGTTGTTGCCCTCCTACGGCCTCCTCCACGTCTCCTGATGTACTGGCCTGTCTCCTGGTAGCGCCTCCATGCTCTGGACACTACGCTGACAGACACAGCAAACCTTCTTGCCACAGCTCGCATTGATGTGCCATCCTGGATGAGCTGCACTACCTGAGCCACTTGTGTGGGTTGTAGACTCCGTCTCATGCTACCACTAGAGTGAAAGCACCGCCAGCATTCAAAAGTGACCAAAACATCAGCCAGGAAGCATAGGAACTGAGAAGTGGTCTGTGGTCACCACCTGCAAAACCAGTCCTTTATTGGGGTGTCTTGCTAATTGCCTATAATTTCCACCTGTTGTCTATTCCATTTGCACAACAGCATGTGAAATGTATTGTTAATCAGTGTTGCTTCCTAAGTGGACAGTTTGATTTCACAGAAGTGTGATTGACTTGGAGTTACATTGTGTTGTTTAAGTGTTCCCTTTATTTTTTTTGAGCTATATATATACAGTGGGGAGAACAAGTATTTGATACACTGCCGATTTTGCAGGTTTTCCTACTTACAAAGCATGTAGAGGTCTGTAATTTTTATCATAGGTACACTTCAACTGTGAGAGACGGAATCTAAAACAAAAATCCAGAAAATCACATTGTATGATTTTTAAGTAATTAATTTGCATTTTATTGCATGACATAAGTATTTGATACATCAGAAAAGCAGAACTTAACATTTGGTACAGAAACCTTTGTTTGCAATTACAGAGATCATACGTTTCCTGTAGATCTTGACCAGGTTTGCACACACTGCAGCAGGGATTTTGGCCCACTCCTCCATACAGACCTTCTCCAGATCCTTCAGGTTTCGGGGCTGTCGCTGGGCAATATGGACTTTCAGCTCCCTCCAAATATTGTCTATTGGGTTCAGGTCTGGAGACTGGCTAGGCCACTCCAGGACCTTGAGATGCTTCTTACGGAGCCACTCCTTAGTTGCCCTGGCTGTGTGTTTCGGGTCGTTGTCATGCTGGAAGACCCAGCCACGACCCATCTTCAATGCTCTTACTGAGGGAAGGAGGTTGTTGGCCAAGATCTCGCGATACCTGGCCCCATCCATCCTCCCCTCAATACGGTGCAGTCGTCCTGTCCCCTTTGCAGAAAAGCATTCCCAAAGAATGATGTTTCCACCTCCATGCTTCACGGTTGGGATGGTGTTCTTGGGGTTGTACTCATCCTTCTTCTTCCTCCAAACACGGCGAGTGGAGTTTAGACCAAAAAGCTCTATTTTTGTCTCATCAGACCACATGACCTTCTCCCATTCCTCCTCTGGATCATCCAGATGGTCATTGGCAAACTTCAGACGGGCCTGGACATGCGCTGGCTTGAGGAGGGGAACCTTGCGTGCGCTGCAGGATTATAATCCATGACGGCGTAGTGTGTTACTAATGGTTTTCTTTGAGACTGTGGTCCCAGCTCTCTTCAGGTCATTGACCAGGTCCTGCCGTGTAGTTCTAGGCTGATCCCTCACCTTCCTCATGATCATTGATGCCCCACAAGGTGAGATCTTGCATGGAGCCCCAGACCGAGGGTGATTGACCGTCATCTTGAACTTCTTCCATTTTCTAATAATTGCGCCAACAGTTGTTGCCTTCTCACCAAGCTGCTTGCCTATTGTCCTGTAGCCCATCCCAGCCTTGTGCAGGTCTACAATTTTATCCCTGATGTCCTTACACAGCTCTCTGGTCTTGGCCATTGTGGAGAGGTTGGAGTCTGTTTGAGTGTGTGGACAGGTGTCTTTTTATACAGGTAACGAGTTCAAACAGGTGCAGTTAATACAGGTAATGAGTGGAGAACAGGAGGGCTTCTTAAAGAAAAACTAACAGGTCTGTGAGAGCTGGAATTCTTACTGGTTGGTAGGTGATCAAATACTTATGTCATGCAATAAAATGCAAATTAATTACTTAAAAATCATACAATGTGATTTTCTGGATTTTTGTTTTAGATTCCGTCTCTCACAGACCTCTACATGCTTTGTAAGTAGGAAAACCTGCAAAATCGGCAGTGTATCAAATACTTGTTCTCCCCACTGTATGTATGTATGTATGTATATATATATATATATATATACACACACACACACACACACACACACACACACACACACAGTGGAGAGAACAAGTATTTGATACACTGCCGATTGATACACTGGGTCTTAAAGTAATGATGGACTCACAACACCCTGTCGTTCTCCACTAACATCAAGGCGGTGACCCGATCCTGTAGGTTCATGCTCTACAACATTCGGAGAGTACGACCCTGCCTTACACATGAAGCGGCACGGGTCCTAATCCAGGCACTTGTCATCTCCCGTCTGGATTACTGCAACTCGCTGTTGGCTGGGCTCCCTGCCTGTGCCATTAAACCCCTACAACTCATCCAGAATGCCGCAGCCCGTCTGGTGTTCAACCTTCCCAAGTTCTCTCACGTCACCCCGCTCCTCCGCACACTCCACTGGCTTCCAGTTGAAGCTCGCATTTGCTACAAGACCATGGTGCTTGCCTACGGAGCTGTGAGGGGAACGGCACCTCCGTACCTTCAGGCTCTGATCAGTCCTTACACCCAAACGAGGGCATTGCGTTCATCCACCTCTGGCCTGCTGGCTCCCCTACCTTTGCTGAAGCACAGTTCCCGCTCAGCCCAGTCAAAACTGTTCGCTGCTCTGGCGGAACAATGGTGGAACAAGCTCCCTCACGACACCAGGACAGCGGAGTGACTCACCACCTTCCGGAGACATTTGAAACCCCACCTCTTTAAGGAACACCTGGGATAGGATAAATTAATCCTTCTACCCTTACCCCCCCCCCCAATTAAAAAAAATAATAATAATAAATAATAAATAATAATAATTGTAAAGTGGTTATCCCACTGGCTATAAGGTGAATGCACCAATTTGTAAGTCGCTCTGGATAAGAGCGTCTGCTAAATGACGTAAATGTAAAATGTAAATGTCTTTCAGCATGACAACGACCCGAAACACACAGCCAGGGCAACTAAGGAGTGGCTCCGTAAGAAGCATCTCAAGGTCCTGGAGTGGCCTAGCCAGTCTCCAGACCTGAACCCAATAGAACATCTTTGGAGGGAGCTGAAAGTCCGTATTGCCCAGCGACAGCCCCGAAACCTGAAGGATCTGGAGAAGGTCTGTATGGAGGAGTGGGCCAAAATCCCTGCTGCAGTGTGTGCAAACCTGGTCAAGACCTACAGGAAACGTATGATTTTTCCCCAGGCTGGGAAGACTGAATCTGCAGTAGGTAAGCAGCTTGGTTTGAAGAAATCAACTGTGGGAGCAATTTTTAGGAAATGGAAGACATACAAGACCACTGATAATCTCCCTCGATCTGGGGCTCCACACAAGATCTCACCCCGTGAGGTCAAAATGATCACAAAAAAATCATTTTGTCTGTCATAGTTGACGTGTACCTATGATGAAAATTACTGGCCTCTCTCATCTTTTTATGTGGGAGAACTTGCACAATTGGTGGCTGACTAAATACTTTTTTTCCCCACTGTATATATATATATAAAAAAACATTTTTTTTGCTTTGTCATTATGGGGTATTGTGTATAGATTGATTAAAAAAAGTTATAATGTTATCAATTTTAGAATAAGGCTGTAACGTAACAAAATGTGGAAAAAGGGAAGTTGTCTGAATACTTTCCGAATGCACTGTGTATTTCAACCTCTGTTATGTAGTCCTCTGTAGCTCAGCTGGTAGAGCACGGCGCTTGTAACGCCAAGGTAGTGGGTTCGATCCCCGGGACCACCCATACACAAAAATGTATGCATGCATGACTGTAAGTCGCTTTGGATAAAAGCGTCTGCTAAATGGCATATTTATTTTTTATATTTATGAATTACCAATGCATCAGGTCAGTGTAGCTTTAAGACATCAAGTCAATGTTGTAGCTTTAGGATAGCAAGACCATACCGCTTTAAATAGGCACATTAATGAACTATATGATGTAAAAAAGGAATACCAGGACACTTGACAATGGTCTCAGCTGTGCCTTTACTTTATGGAGAAACGAAAACTATCTTTCTCTGGTGCCATTCACTGAGCCCGTTCTAGGTGTGTAATATTGAAGAACGTTTATTAACCATTTATTCCTGTCCAGGTGCTGATCAAGCCCAAGCCCATCTTCCAGACGGCAGTGTTGAGCGAGCAGACCAGGCAGCTGGTGAGCGAGACACTGCAGCAGGCGTCCAGGGTGGCTGACGCACAGGAGGGGGCGCTGAAGGACGTGACAGGTGGCATCGCTGAGGGCAGCTCCCCGCCCGCCGAAGGCTCCCACGGCAGCAGTCACGGTACGTTGTGGCACTCCACATCACAAATCAAGAAATACATAATATAGCCTGCAGCCTAACTACGGGAACAAAAAGGACAGTCAAGTTAAAACTGTGTATTGTAGTCTCACACAGCTATTGACTACTTCAGCCGTAGTATGAAAGTGTGTCTATTCTCACAAGTATTCAGCTAAGTTCCCTTCACTTTCAAATGGTAAAAAGCTCCACTCGCATAATATAATTATTTCAATTCCCTTTTATTTGAATGCCATGTCCAATTTAATTCCCACATCGACTGGAATGTAAAGGGAATCTGCCCAATTTCACATGACATGACTTGTTTTGGTTGTTGTCACCGGTCAGACTCCCAGCCCGTAGTGCACATCATCTCCTCCAGAGGGCAGGAGTGGGCCGAGCAGCATGAAGTGTCGGTGGAGTCCGGCCCCACTATCATCTACCAGGACGTGTCTACAGGGAACCTGACCCAGTCGGCCACCTCGACCATCAAGGCCCTGCTGGAGCTGCAGCAAACCACAGGTGACTGACAGACTGACCGCCATCACCATGGCAACTATCACCCCACTTAACAGGGTTTGGGTCAATTCCATTTCAATTCAGAAACTGAGTTATCTTCCTGGCAACAAGGCTAGTCACCTGTTAATAGGGCTTGTTATTATGGCTGGGATTCTATCCCAACAGTCAGGAGAAGAACTCTGGGGGTTTTCCAAACCACTTCCCCTTTGTAATCTTTACTGCTGTGGACCGTTCAGAGACTTCTTGTAAAAAGCTGTTTGTTGTTATATATGGTCTGTGTGTTGAGTGCATGACTGTGTGTTGAGTGCAACTGATGCCTGATATACAAAAACATCCCCCTTTTTAGTATTTGCAGATAGAAACTAGATGGCGCCATCGCCATATTGCACCTATCTAGTCCTTGCTATAGTGATAGGGTTGGCTAATCTTGGCAGGGTTATGTACCAGACCTGATTTCAATTAATGTGGATATTTAATTTATACACCACGATTAGTTGAATTCGGTGTGTTAGTGCTGTGCGAATATCCTGACACTGCAGCCCCTCAAACATGAATTTTAATACAAACGACTTGGGAAGAAAGCCCCAGCTCCCGACACCTCAGTTTTTCCACACACGAGCCGACACACAATTTATTACCGGTGCGATTAATGGTCCCCGTGGCTTCACTCAAACACAGCCTGCTAGCAGGTCAGGTGACAGGATTCTCTGGGAGAATCGGATGTAAAAGTGTCCGACGTGAGGTCAGACTGCTCCGAATTCACATATAAGCGACGTACTTTGTCGTCCCGCGTCTTTACAATATAAATGGAGTAGTTGTTTATTTTGATGATTGATGGTGACAGTCTCTGTTGCTTTTACAGTGAAGGAAACGGGTGAGGCCAAGCCCAGGCAGCACACCATAGACCTGAGCCAGATGGCTGTGCCCCTTCAGATGGCCCAGGACAACAAGCAGCAGATCCCAGGCTCCCCCGGGACATCCACTGTAGAGACTGAACCATCCACTGAATACATCACTGCCGGTACATGACCTGACCACTCAGGGTGCCTCCCAAATGGCACCCTATTCCCTATATAGTGCACTACTTTTGACTAAGGTCCAGCCCTGTTCAAAGGTAGTGCACTATATAAGGGATAGGGTGCCATTTGGGAAGCGAGCTCACTGAAACATTTCTCCCTGGGCATTACACACAGCCAAGACACTATAATCTGTTTTACCTTTTTGTTTTTCATATTTTATAAATTGCCATTATACAGCCTATTGTCATCACTTTAGGAGGACACTTAAAAGATCCCCAAAGTGATATGTTGTTCACTTTCTTTTCATACTGTTTCATTACGAAATACATTGATGAATGTCATAGTTAGTCACCCCTTAATAATGATATTACACCATGGATGTAAAATAATACACTTTTCTACTCGTGTTCTTCAGGGGTTTAAACACAATCGTAGCCCTCGCCCTAACCACGCTGAAATAAGCAAAGTGAAAAAACAGCAGGCTGTTCTATACTTAGCTGTACTCACTAAAGAATGGCTCCAAATAATGCAAAGTAATTCCATGTTTAGAACCAGGTTTCCATCCAACCTTGTTATGCGAGTAAAGTAGTCAGATAAAAAATGTCATGACAGGCAAAACAAAATACACTAGACAAGGTGGAATATTCTTGTGTTGGGAAAATGAATTATGCGATAAATGTCGGTGGAAATCTATGCGCAAATATTGATATAATAGCCATCATATCGAATTAAACTAGGAGTCACGCGATGACATGTTGTGATGACATGTTGTGTGGTCCTCCCACTACGACTCGTCGGGAAAACATACAGTTTATTGGGATACAGATTAAATAAGTCACGATGAACTTCAGATTGTGGTGAAAGTGCAAGGTGATGAGCTTGATGCTTCTTTCCATTAAATATTGAGGGTCTTATTCTGGTGACATGATGACCGATGCTTGGCTGCCGTTTGACAAATAAAAATAATCTTGTTTCTTTTGTCCATAATGATCTCATCATGTAGGCTATACGTGCACTCTAGCCAACAGTGCTATATGTGGACACTGTACTGTGTCTGCCAGCTGTTGGCTAGAGCGCACGTGCCAATACCAGAGTGGGCACACTCATTATATAACAGAAATGTTATTGTGACAAAACCATCAGTAGAGTTGAAAATGCGATGGAAACCCATTTAACTATTTTAAAATTGGGTACATGGGAATTTAACCACAAGGTATTTTTATGTGCACTACGTCATCACGCACATCCTTTTAACTGCAACAAGTCAATTTAATGGAAACACCCCTCTGGTGGGAAAATGCGCATATTGTTTTTAGGTGGATTTTAGAATATTCGCATGAAAATCTGTCGCCAATTGGATGGAAGCCTAACTTATGATGATCTCTCTTTGTGCAGTTAAAGCCAGCTGGGTCGGACCATCCTCTGGAGGCGGGGGGGACGTGGTCATGTCCGCTAGCCAGCAACTGGGGGCGCCCTCAAAGAGCACAGGTCACACCCCCATGGTGGTCAAATCCATCCCAACTTCCTCTGCGGTCACCGTCACACGCATTGTCCAACTGGTGAGACAAAAGCCTACCTAGTATATTAACTTAAAAATCACAAATACATGTTAGTCTTTGTATTCTTTTCCTATGTTTATCAAATCAGGCTGTTTATTTTTTTCAAATGATATAGTATAGGTAATGCAGTATAACATGCACTATCTCACTGTTCATTGGGTAAGCCTACTAGTATATCAATATGCACCAAAATACAGGTAACTGCCAAAATAACAGAAACACTTCAGTAAATGAGGCATACAAAGTATATTGAAAACAGGTGCTTCCACACAGGTGTAGTGTGAGTTAATTTAGCAATTAACATCCCATCATGCTTAGGCCCATGTATAAAAATCCTGGGCAGGCCATTATTTTGGCTACCATGCCTATGTCCCCATAGGATGACAATGTCCCCATCCACAGGGCACGAGTGGTCACTGAATGGTTTGATGAACATGAAAATGATATAAACCATATGCCATGGCCGTCTCAGTCACCAGATCTCAACCCAATTGAACACTTATGTGAAATTCTGGAGTGACACCTGAGACGGTTTTCCACCACCATCATCAAAACACCAAATGATGGAATTTCTCGTGGAAGAATGGTGTCAAATAGAGTAGAGTCCCAGACACTTGTAGAATCTATGCCAAGGTGCAGTGAAGCTGTTCTGGCTCATGGTCGCTCAACGCCCTAAGACACTTTGGTGTTTTATTTTATTTTGGCAGTTATCTGTATATCCATATATGCCACTAGTCTCAATGATAGTACAATGTCATTCCAGGCGTCAGAGGGCCAGCTTATCCACAGTAAGCAGGCAGAGGAGACGGTGATGGAGGAGGGCGAACTGGAAGGGGACACCTTGGACCCCCAGACGGGCCTGTTCTACCGCTCCATCCAACTCGCTGCAGCCCAGCCCTCTGCCCCCCAGCACCACACACTCCCCCCCCCCCAAAGCCAGTCACACTCTGAGTCCCAGTCAGAGCAGGGCAAACACATGCCCCACTCCACCCAACCCCCACAGCTACACAGCAAGCCCCAGATGAGCCAGCCCTCGTCCTCCACCTTGGTGAAGAAGCCACCCCAGCTCCAAGAGCAGTACCAGCCCCAGGCTCCAGGGCAGAGCCTGAAGGAGAGGCCCTCCTCTGCCTCGGGATCCCCCCAGCTGGTTGGCCTGGGCACCCCTACCAAGCCACCCTCCCTCACCCCACAGCTCCCCAAGCTGCAGCAGGCGCCCACCTCCCACCACAGGCCCATCCACACACAGCTGTCCCAGCCGCCACCCCTGCAGGCCCACCACCCGGTGGGTGCAGACAAGACCCCTCCCACAAGCCTGGTGAGCACCATCCCTCTCTGATGGACCTCCAGGGCCCAGTAACTAGTTGATTTATTGGTCCGGGACAGATCAGGTTGACACAGTGAATCATCAACGGTCAGATGTATTGTGCCATAATGCTTTAGAATAGAACTTCATTTAAACTTTATTTGCCCTCTAGATGGAGGGCAAATAAACATTTAAAAGTATTTACACCAAGTACACATTCCATACATGTAAATCTTGTTCTGATTCACAGCACCTGTCCCTTGATGGGGCTTTTTAAGATCAAAGAGATAAGACAAAGCTCTGGGCACTGTGCCACAAAGCTCAATTCCCTTCCAATCAGATCAGTGTTATTTGTACAGCAGCGCAGGGAGCCTGACAAAACCTGAAAAGAAATTCCCATTGTTTTTCATTCAAAAGGGGCACCTGGGTCTGTAGAATTTCCCCATGCCCTACACTAGTTCCAACCATAAAAATGAAAGGGGAAAACCAATGCAATTTGACTGTAACACTCATGGGTACATTTAATATGGCCGCTGGTTTACCTATTACAGAACGTTGACTTGAATGGCGATGTCTGTTTTGATTAATTATATATTCTATAATTCCAACCACATCTGTTTTTTCTGTCTCTCTCTGTCTCTCCGTCTCTCTCCCCCCCCACCCCGACACAGCCACCAATCATCACCCAGGGTGCCAGCGTCACCAAAATCACCTTTGGCGGTAGCAGCAGCCACCAGTCCCCGCCCGTGTCCAGCAGTGGCGAGGCCACCGCCAAGCTGGGTCCCGCTGAGCCCAGCAGCTCGGGCCTGTCTGGCGGCGAGAAGCCCACCGTTTCGGACATCCTCAAGATCTCCATGATGGAAGCAGAGATCGACCCTAGCGCCGAGCCAATGGTTGTGGACTCATCCAGCGACTGTAGCCCCTACGGGAAGGGCGTGGGGGCAGGGGGAGACTCGGGTGTGTTGGGGGGCTCAGGCCCGGTCATCAGCAGTTCGGGGGCCTCCCTGCACCACTCATCCCACGCCAAGCCCCAGCACGGCCAGTTTAGCCGTAACCAGGGCCTGGCGGCCAAGGGCAAAGAAGACCTGGACGTCATTGAGGTACATTTGTGTGATTTCAAAGATTTCTGTTATAGCATAGCAACGCCTTACTAATTGAGTCATATGATTAACATTTCTTAAACATTGTTTATTATAGGACAACAGTCATCATCTAAGCTTTTAACATCTATAGACAATAAAAGCTTAATAACACCCGTTACCCCCCCCCCCCCCAGGTTATCCCTCGGTACTCGATCATGCCAGACTCCAGCCAGTCCAACGTGGTGGTGGAGCCCAGTGGCTTCCTGGAGATCACAGACTACACCAGCCAGCGGCTGGACGAGGAGAGCGTCGTGGAGCAGGAGGTGGACAGCAGCAGCAACGACGAGGCCACCGCTGTCAGCCCCATGGAGGAGGGCAGCGCCGACCAGTCCCAGTGACACCACCATCACACATGTCAACTCCGTCACATTACACACGATGTGTGACAGGGATGAATCATAGATGAGGGTGATTACGGTCATCACAGTGACTTGTGGTTACCTCCTGACTTAGTTAGGACCCTAATGACTTCACGGCAAGAGGACACAAATCTGTGATAAATGCGGTATTTGCATAACGGTATTTAATTAGATCATTTGTTGAACACCATTTTTGATTTGGTCGCCTTGGACAATGTAAATTTGAATACATGATAGTACAGTTTGAGTTTCTGGCTTGTATCAAATCAGTCTGATAGCCTTCAGATTACTTCAGTTTGTTTATAGTGGGCACATACAGTGCAGTGATTTAAGATTTGTCACAGACAATAATGGTTGACCATAAAGTGATTGTAGTAACCCTTGAGGAATTAGCACTTTGAAGTTGAAACAGTTGGTAAGAACAATTGTTGGAAGAAAAAGATGAATACAAACAAACAAGTAAATAAATAAACTACGTTCAACCCTGTTAGTTAGGTGGGGGTTTCTGTTTTGTGTTCTCGCTGTTTGTTTTAGAATTTTAACTGTAAACTTTTATACAAAAGCTTAAACTGTTTTTCTGTTAAAGGACTGCACACAATTTTACATTCCCTTGGTGAATGTTGTTTTGTACATGACCTGTCAGTCCATATTAATGAATTGACCTTTCAACATGAGGAAATCACCAATGTTTCAGCCAAAAGTTTATTTGCATTAAATCTTAGGGGTAAAAAGAAAGCATCAACTGAGGGCTGCTATTTGGGCAGTGGTGGCGGCTAGATGTAAGCTAGGCTAGTGTGTGTGTGTGTGTGTGTGTGTGTGTGTGTGTGTGTGTGTGTGTGTGTGTGTATGTTGGGAAGTTCCTGTGAATACCAGCACCCTTTTGTTAGTGCCATAATAGTCTGGGTTGAATAATTTTAAATGTTTGTCATTTAGCAAGGCGTTGCAAGCACCATGCTCCACCAACTGAGGCTATATAGGTTTTTTTGAGTGTTTACACCACGTGGTTGGTCTAACTGCTGTGGAATCAGCGATGGAGATGGAGGCTAGCCATTGTGCTAACCAGCCTATAGAGCGTCTGTGTACTGAACTGGCTCAAAGGGACATCTGTCATTCATTATAGGGTGCTTTTGCCCTCTCGTCTGTCTTTTGCGACTCTTCCCATGTTATCCACACAGATGGACTTTCTGTATCCGGATATTACTGAAGCCGGGGGTAAGGCAGGATGATGTAGTCCTAGCTCTCCCCTCATTTACTTATTTGAGTGGTTAGCATTGTGCGCTAACAACCACATCAGTAGCCAAAAGATGATTCAATGGTTCATTTTGCAATCTTTCTGGATACAGATTTAGACATTTTGGGCTTTGCTTTGAGGTTGTTTCTAGCTGAACATGTGACAAGCACCTGTTTTGCAAATTTAAATAGGAAATTATATACTTCAACTCACATGGATTCTAAATCATGCCTCAAAGCATAGCCGCACATACCATAATAAAACAGGTGTGTTTTGTAAGAGTGGGGGACCACAGACATAATCATCATTGTCCTTTTATTTAGCCTTTGTTGGTTTTGTATGTGTCTCTTTTACAGAAGGAGCACACTTTGAGGTTTAATTACATGCACAAGGTGTTTATAACCCATTATCAGTCACTGTTTACAAATTTACTTCAATAGTATTATTCCACAAATGTACATTTGAAAATCCCCTTCTATATATATATCATTGTCACCATGAGCAAACTCTAGCCATCTTGTTTGCTGCACATGTTGATAACTGTTTTTACCTATTACAGCTAATGGGAAACTGCACTCTGACAACAATCAATTTACAAGGGTGTATTCACTAGTAACCACCCGGTCCGAAACGGGACAGATTAACCTGAACTAATTTTTGTCCCGTTGCAAAACGTTTTGCTACGGTGTGCATTAATGAATACACCCCCGGTTTGGCTTTCTCTTTCTATTTTAGTACCATTAGAGAGATAAGGAAGTGAGGTCACACGGGAAGCCCCTTGTTTGATACCATAGCAAAAGCTGTCGTAACCTCTACGCTAGAATTACCATGAATAATAGATTCTCTTTAAATTCTAAATAGACCTTAAAAACCCCTAGAGTCGTTGTCCGCGCCCCGTGGAAATGTAATTAGCGTAATAAAAAAATCCCCATGAAAATCTGTCTGTTTAAACTAGAGACATCTGTTGTGTTTTTGCATGGCCTGCAATCCACCGCATCCACGGTTGTCGGCCTGTTTGTCAGACCATGAAACATCCCGAAAATTGGTATTCTCACGAAAACGTCTGTAGCATCCAAACTAATATGACCCCTCTGTGGAAGGATGAGACTCACGAACACCTACAGTACCTACTCATTCAAGGTGTTTTCTTTATTTTTACTATTTTCTACATTGTACTACATTTTCATGTAGTAACCAAAAAAGTGTTAAACAAATCTAAATATATTTTATATTTGAGATTCTTCAAATAGCCACCCTTTGCCTTGATGACAGCTTTGCACACTGCATTCTCTGGACAAATTCAATGTTTCATCAAACATATAGTGCCTGAAACAAAAAAGGGGTTAAATATGTCCCCCCCAAAATAAAAAGAATACCCTGATCTTTCTTATATCCCTCAGATATAGGACAGACACTTCCAGACAGAAGTTTTTCCATGTATGAATCTGCTATTCAATGCGTTTCTATGTGGGCTATAGCAGAAATGCAAATTCAATGTTTCATCAAATATTATTTTACATATTTATTTTATGGGGTCCTAAAATTCAAAATCAAATGGCTAAATGATCCTTGGTATGACCATCTTAAAACAATTCCATATGTTAGCTTAGTAGAACCACCCACCCAGGCTTAGACTTTAGGGGGGATTAAAAGGTCACAGCTGCATGACGAAACATTTCTAGTCATGCTTGATTGTCATAGCCATTCTCAAGAATTAAGATAACAAATATAGCAACTTTCCATAAAATTCTTATTGAACTATTTGTTTGGTCATGATGAATGTCAATTAGTAATTGGGTCTACTGTATCTGAACTCTGTGCCAGTTGATTCCATTGAATTCAACCTTTTTCAATTGAAATCCCCAACAAAAAGTTGCGTAGTGGTATTTGAGAAGTCTCAACTGCTGAATTGAACTTTATAAAAGAGGAACTGAGAGAACTTTCACTGCCAGGTTTGTGGTTCAGGCTCCCAAACCTCTGGTTGTGTTTAGACCTTGCCACCACAGATCGATCAGTGCAACCACAACTAGAACACAACCACTCAACTCCGCTACCCACCTCAGCATGGGGGCAAGCAAGCATTCTGTGCCTCAATATAGGAATATTATTTTTACCCAACCATGCTGACCCGAACCATACTGTACTGGCTTAGATCATTTCCTTTCACTTTGTCCTTTCAATTACGATTCCAGCAACTCTGGTGGATGCATAACCAGCCCAGTCCAATTGGTTTGGCTTAGCTAAGTAGTGTGAAATCACAACTTGTGCATTTATTTCAGTCACACATAGATCATTTTTCTTAGGTTCAGATCATTTAATTTAGGTTCACTACAAGGTATACTGTATCTCTGCATGCATATGTTAATTAAAACAGTGGATACATTCTTGCTCTTGTTGTTGGACATGTCCTTCAAAGACGTCTACTGGCAGCACTAGAAGAAGAATCTTTAACATAACACAAAATCCACCAGCTGTGTATTCATGAGTAAATTGAGATTACCCCTCTGGGGCCCCGTATACACACTCGGGTTGTACATCTGATGTACAATGCATTTCATTTTCACACAATGGTTGTGATACAACTGCTATTTTTTGTGATAAACCATTGTCCAACCAATGTTTGTGTCATTGTTTTTGTGCAGAAACACTCCATTGTATCACAACCATTGTGCCAAATGCGTTGTACATCAGTTGTATAACTTCAGTATGTGAGGAGAGGAATCCAGACAGAATCTGGTTTGTGGTAAGACTCCTGGTTAACCTGATCCCTCACTTTAACACTCACTGTGGTGTCCACGGAGGGAGTTGACTGGGCATTTGGGGCCATATGTATTAAGTGTCTCAGAATAGGAGGGCTGATTTAGGGTCAGGTTTCCCTTTTAGATCACAATGAATGAGACCACATGGACAGGGTGGGTCTGATTCTAGATCAGTACAGGGTGAATCTGATTCTAGATCAGTATGCTGTGGCTCTCTCATTGGTAGATTCGGGGGTGTCATCTGTTTTTCTACCCTCCTATCGATGTCTGTCCGGGCTTAGTGGAGTGGACCGGGGTCTCTCCGACTCCTTTGGCAGTGACTGGGCCTCTGGGTATTCCTGTATTCACTGACCTGGCCCACTTTTGTTCTGCCTTTCCCCTGCTTTGGAAGTGATATCCTGGGTTGAGGGTTGAGCGTGCCCTCCTCGGGCTGAGATCTGGCCAGCAGCCCAGATGTGTTTGGACGTGGCCCTAGGATATGTGGCTCTATTTAGGGGCACGCTGGCTTAACGTTCTCCCTTTGGCCCCCCTGCGGTCACGCCACAAGCTGTGATGAATGTGCCAAGTCCCAGTGTGTGACATGGCTTTCCTCACTCTGCTGGCTCACCCAGGTGAAAGAGACGCAGTAAACCTTTCTCTCTCTTTCTCTCGCTATCTCTTCCCTTTATTGCATGGTATCACAGGGATAGGAATGATTTTAAATGGAAATGGATCCCAGACCTTGTGTACATGTGTGTCTGCATCCGTGTTTGTGTGCGTGAGTGTGTGGTTGTGTGTGCGTGAGTTTGTGTGTCCTCGCATGTGTGTGAGAGAACACAAGCAGGCCCTTGGTTAATGTAGATTAAGCTTTCGCTGGGGTCAGCAGATTGAGAGGGCTTGTAATATTTATGTTCCCCCTTCAAAATAATTTCCAAAATATACCATTATTCTGATCCCATCTGTAACTCATAGCTCTGTAGTAGTTGTGTAAATGTGATTTATTTTTTCACCCCATCAGGGACTCTGCTGTGTCAGAGTGACTACAGTATTAGCCCATGCTAATATCCTCGTCAAATTCAACCCAACACGCCTGTATAACAAAAAGTTACCCTTTCAGTGCAAAGTTAAATAAAATGTGCATATTTTACGTATTTTCCGAGCATAGCGTGTGTCATCTATTAGACTTTGTTAACCAACTGCTGATGGTTTGTTTTCTGTAACTTTTTACAACCTCTTAAATCTCAATAGGTTCCAGCTGAGAGTCTGGCCAGTTGGATCGTCTCTGGTCTAATCCTGCCAATAGTAGTTGGCCAGTGAGAGTGTCTGACAGGTTACAGCCAGGTCTCATGTCACTGACGCCCCCCCAACCTCGAGGAGGCGTGCAGGTGTGTGTGTGTGTGCGCGTCTGTGTGTGTGTGTGTGTATTTCCATATTTGTGTATTTCTGTGTGTATACCGCTACATGAAAACTCCCATCTTCTCCCGTACAACATCAGAAATCAGAAGAACACCACAGAGGTTCTTGTCAACATGTGAAGTGTGTGTCAACATCTGTCACCAATATGGACTACGCTGGTGACGTAAGCATACTGTATCTAATAGGGCATTTTAAAAACCCAGTAAAAAATCAGCGCCCTTTCTGGATTTTTCAGCACTTTACTGCTCCAACTGAAATAACTATTTATTGTTATAACATTCTGATTGATGTGAATTCCAAGTGAATGAGACACATGCCGGACAGAGCAGCCAAATCATCAAAGCCATGTGCTAGGCATCTGAT